GATCGCGCAGGGAGGAAGGGGCGCGTTGGCTCTCTGCTCTGGGCTGCTCTCCGTGAGCGCCCCGTGAAGTGGAGACGGCAGGATGACTCGGACCAGTGCACGGCTTTTGAGCAAACGGGAAAGAGTGTCCCGGTTGAGGCGACGTTTCGGGATTTGGCTGCTGTGTGACCAGGGGGACAGGAGCAGGAGAGGCTGAAGTGCGTGGACTCGGCGCTCCGCTCTCAGGCCACTGTGGGGTGCATGGATAGGGCTCAACTGGACCACTGTGTCGCCTGAGCACAGCATCCTTTAGGAGCCTCTTTCTGGCGGATGATTTCTCGCGTGGATGTTGTGCGGCGAGTGAACGTTTTACGGAGAGTACTTGTTCACTCTTGGGCGCCGAGCACTTTGCATTCCCCGGGGGCTGGGGGTCAGCTGTGGACTCTTGCACCAGGAGGTTCCGCTGGCGGTGACGGGACGTCAGCAGCCAGAGCCGCATACCGGTTTGAAATACCAAGGACCTGGACCACAACACTAGATGCTTCTTCACACCCCGTGGGCTCATTATCCGTACCCGGGCGTTTTGGTGTTGAACAGGATCCAGGACCAGCGGGACCATCCCAGACAAGAGTGTCATAGTATGCTGCACTCAATGACAGGATTCGTTTGTGTTGACCACCAGCGACCTCCAGGAGTTTGGAAACAAGTGCCTCTTTTTCGTTCAGCTGGGTAGTGAGACGCAGGACTTCACTTCTAAGAAAAGAAATTGATGCTCGATCACTTTCCCGAAGTTCTAAGGTGAGTCGGCTGAGCTCTTGTACCAGATTATTTGTTTCTTTATGTTTTTCCATTTCTTTGGACGGGCTTGTATCAGACCACTGCAAATCTACCAAGACCCGGCCGTCCCTCCAAACTTTCATCTCAAACAAGGAGAAGACTGATCAGAGATGCAGCCAAGAGGCCCATGATCACTCTGGATGAACTGCAGATAACTACAGCTGAGGTGGGAGAGTCTGTCCATAGGACAACAATCAGTCGTGCACTGCACAAATCTGGCCTTTATGGAAGAGTGACAAGAAGAAAGCCATTTCTCAAAGATATCCATAAAAAGTCTTGTTTAAAGTTTGCCACAAGCCACCTGGGAGACACACCACACATGTGGAAGAAGGTGCTCTGGTCAGATGAAACCAAAATCGAACTTTTTGGCCACAATGCAAAACGATATGTTTGGCGTAAAAGCAACACAGCTCATCACCCTGAACACACCATCCCCACCTCAGCTGTAGTTATCTGCAGTTCATCCAGAGCGATCATGGGCCTCTTGTCTGCATCTCTGATCAGTCTTCTCCTTGTTTGAGATGAAAGTTTGGAGGGACGGCCGGGTCTTGGTAGATTTGCAGTGGTCTGATACTCCTTCCATTTCAATATAATTGCTTGCACAGTGCTCCTTGAGAGCTTGGGAAATCTTTTTGTATCCAAATCCGGCTTTAAACTTCTCCACAACAGTATCTCGGACCTGCCTGGTGTGTTCCTTTGTCTTCATGGTTCTCTCTGCGCTTTAAACAGAACCCTGAGACTATCAAAGAGCAGGTGCATTTATACGGAGACTTGTTTACACACAGGTGCATTCTATTTATCATCATCAGTCATTTAGGACAACATTGGATCATTCAAAGATCGTCACTGAACTTCTGGAGTGAGTTTGCTGCACTGAAAGTAAAGGGGCCGAATAATATTGCACGCCCCACTTTTCAGTTTTTTATTTGTTAAAAAAAGTTTAAATTATCCAATAAATTTCGTTCCACTTCACGATTGTGTCCCACTTGTTGATTCATGACAAAAAATTAAAATTTTATATCTTTATGTTTGAAGCCTGAAATGTGGCGAAATGTTGAAAGGTTCAAGGGGCCGAATACTTTCGCAAGGCACTGTATTTGTTGTTGCCTCTTGGACAATTCAAATTATAAATTGATTCAAACAAACGTCAAAATTCAAATACAATTCCTCTTCTGAAAACACGTTGTTCTTTGAAACTGCCCTGATACACTTGCGCTACAAGACTCGGCTAAACTACAGACCCTGCAGTATCTAATCTATACTGTATTTTACAATAAAAAATTATTGAAAACAGTCCTTTCCTTGGAATAAGCATCACCAGTAAGTAGAGGTGCAACGGTTCATCACTGATCCGTGATCCGTTCGGTTCAACGTCTTCGGTTCGGTACAGACGTTATCCGCGGTTTGATTTATGAAAAAAAAGTTGTGCGCACGTTGTTCAGTCCACACACAGCGTGGTCATTGCGAGCGGAGGAACGGAGATGCTTGAAAGCCCCGCGTCATTTAAATCCCCAGTATGAGAGCATTTTGGCTTCACTGTAACTACACTGATAATTAATATTCGACAAAACTGTCACGATGTGTAAGCACTGTGGCACAAGAAAGACATGAGTGAAAAAAGCGTCTCAACGACCGCTTATTGTCGCGGCATTTAAGCAGCTCCTTTACGCACAGTCAGACCGGGCTAAAGTCAACTCTCCCGCGCATCCTCAGCTCAGCTCACGACTGACGCTTGGACGTCCCGCGGAACCTATAATAGATCCATGAGCAGAACCGCTCACTTCATCACCGCAGACTGGGAGATGAAAAGTCTGGCGCTGCAGACACGCCCCCTCTACGACAGTCACACTGTCACCCAGCGCAGGTACTGACACAAGCAGCAGAGGAATGGAAGACAAAGGCCCAGTACTAATATCCCAGTCACAACTGATAATGCCAAAAATTAAATAAATGCAGTGAATGAGGCTGGGCCCAGAATGGAGCGCCTCCTCGAATCAGGAAGGTGGTGTAATATATGAGAGTAAATATCCTCATAAAGTGCCTTCTTATGTTGCACTTTGTGTTGTTTTTCATTAATTATGTTAAATAGACATAATTGGATGGATGGAATATTCCATCCATCCATCCATCCATTTTCTTCCCCTTAATTCTTTTCTAGGTCAGGGGGGGCAGTCAGAGCAGGTGCCGAGTCCACATGAGCTGTGTTTATTAAAAAGACAACACTTTTTTTTTTGAAAAATGAACCGAAAAATGAACCGAACCGTGGCCTCTGAACCGAGGTACGAACCGAACCGTGATTTTTTCAAACCGTTGCACCCCTACCAGTAAGTTATGCTGAAGGAGAATAGTTAGACCAATGGTAAGGGGCCCTAGCTGTCTATCACGGATTTTGACTAATTGTGTCCAATAAGGAGCCTGTGGGGGCGGGTCTAACTGGTGCTAGAATTAGAAAAATGTCTCCAACTTAATCGCCTTTGAAAAGTTATTGTCCCGCACTTTAAAGTAAAAATATCAAAGCAAAGATAACGATTGTTTTATTTAAATATGGAAAAAATCAGGGGCAATAGTTACAAAATAAAATATAAATATAATCTAATTTAAAAAATCTCGATCTTATTTCTAGCACACCGCTGATTGGTAGTAGTTATTAAGTAAAAGATATTTCTATGAAACTTTAGCCTTTGAATCAGACAAATGTATTCTGCAGACACACAGCAGCTGACCCCTGACCCCCGCTGACCAGTCCAAGGACCAGACACCATATTAATATTTCATTAACGCGGCGGTAATGAGAAGTTAACGGCGGCGCCCTCAGCAGACGGAGGATCATGAAGTCTGAACATGGACAGGTCAACGATAATGACATACAATGAAACATATCACAAGCTGCAGCGAATGGTTCTGCAGTTTGAAAGCCATTTTGGTAATTACACTTTTCAGAGAAATTTAGCCAAAAATAGTCAAACTCTTTGGTTTTATTCTTATGCTGCAGGCCATGTCCACACTATGGCCCCTGGGACATTTGCGGCCCTCCAAGCCTTTCCTAATAGGCCTTCTTCGTCACCTTGCTGCAATCAGTGATTAGTCATGCATCTTCACCTCATTTCAACAACAACAAAATATCATAAATGTATAAGTTAAGCTTTTAGATGCATTTTTTTTGCAACATTAAGCGAGATTAAATTGTGTGAAACTCAATGATAGCTTTAATATGTCCTTGATCTAATACAGGGGTGTCCATACTTTTCAGTAAGAGGGCCACTTTAGCTCACCAAAAATTGCCAATAACACAAATTGTAAAACTGTTTTCACTGGTTCTGAGCTTTAAAATGAAGAGTGTCCATATTGATTTGATGGATCTGAAGTCGACAGAAGACAAATCATTTACCATCTCACCAGCTTTAATGAATGTTGTGACACAATCAAAAGGGTTAGGTTTAGGGAAGAGGTATAGCAGGCATTCATTGGTGTGGTACTTTGGGTCAGCAGCAGAAGACCCCATGACACAGAGGGCCGCAATTGGCCCATGGACCATAGCTTGGATATGTAGGTAATAGGTTTAGGCGCCCCTGTAGACAATTCTCTTAGTCTAGACTGGTACTAGAAAGAGCTGGCTGAAGGATTTCTCTCCAACCAAGCAGGAGCACACCAGACTCCGCCCATTTCCTCAAGTGAGTCCCGTCGGAACCTGAAGACTCTGGTGTGCTCCTGCTTTGTTGGAATGAAATCCTGCAGCTACACCGGACCTTTCTAGAACCAGTTTGACACCCCTGGTCTAGAATCCTTTGCCTTGGACAACATTTAAATTATATCTAAACAAGGCTCAGAAGGCTCCTTTAATAAGACAAAAATGTAAAGAAGTAGCACTGATTACGCTTTTTGTTAGTTGCTTTTTACATTTCATCTAACACACAATTCTGCAAACTGCACTGGTTGAAAAGACCGGTTTGGAATTGCCGCTCACGTCAGATTACTCAAGTCTCTGGCACTGGGCTTAACACAGCAGACATAAACTTAACCTGTCAGTGCGGCGGGTAAACACAAGTGTCCATCCATCTCCGCGCTCCTCCTCCGCTGTCCGGTCAACAATGTGTTCCTGAAAGCCACTTATTAAACGTGTGGGCACGGCGTCACTGCGAGCACCACTCCAACAATGGCATGGCACATAAACCTGGTTAACTAGGTCACTCAGGCAGTTTGTTCTGAGGTGAGCTGACGGCTAAATCAAACGGACCCATCGCACTGGCCTCTGACTCATCTCCCCCACGGAGAGAAAGACAGCCCTGAATGCTCAGAGGTGGAGGCGGCCTGGTTTGGAACGGAACACATGGCAGATCAGAAATACTATTTGAAAGCTACTTCATCTAATATTGATTTGTAAGGACTGACCATAATCTTTAATAATGAATGAATTATAGATGTGCGGATAGTAGTTCAACAAGTGAAGTCTGCAGAGTCAGAGATTGAGGTATTTCTTATTGGTCTTTATTGGTGAAGGTAAAGTATGATCAAAATTAGTGGCTGAAAAGTAACTTCCTATGATTAAATCTGTCAGAATCTATTAATTACAGCGGTCTTCCTGTAACCCTCAGTCCTGCTCCTGTCCCTCAGTCTCCTCTTCAGCGTATTCCACAGTGTATGCACAGCTTTTGACAGCTGCAGCAGCGCTCAGACCTACAACCAACAGGTTTGATATCGCCATGATTGCGATCCTATTGCTGGTGTTTCTTTTAAACGTATCCCACTCAATAAATGACCGTATTCTATTTCTGAAAACAGATTCTAAAAAGTTTCCGACCAAAATTTGGTTAAAAAAACTCATGAACACATCTATAAATTGTTGTGTTTTCAACCAATCTATATGGGTCTGAGCGACAAAATTATTCTGACCAAAATATTGGTTAAAATATTTTGATTTCATATCACAAAGATTATGCCAACAACAATATCCTGTTGTTGAGGTTTTACTTTTCTACATGAGACAAAAGTTCAAAAAAACTTCCAATGAACTGGTGTCAGTGTCTGACGCATGTGCCGCTCATTCTACCGCCTGGAGATTGCAGTATTCCTCACAGATCAAACTGCAGTGATTTGGCCTATAGCCACTTTTAGTAGGAACATTGGGTACTTTTGAGGTCTGACGATGTGCGACTCTGGAACATTGGTGTTTTAACCTTAGTTATTCTAAGTCCTAGCTGAAGATGGTACTTTGCCAGAGAAGCTTTTGTACAAAGTGAAACAGGTTCCAGCTGTTATTATCCATCTATAACACAAAGTTAAGTAAAGTGTCCTATGTCTCATTACATCAGAACATTCTCCATTTGCCAGGAGTTTCTCTGTCATCAATCACTGTTTTGGCGTTGGGCCAGACACCAATGTAATCCTATTTGCTTCAGTCTGTGGGCTCAAACAGTCAAGTCAGTAAATACATTGACCAGGATAACAGCTTTTACAAACGACTTAGATTAACGAATGTGCATAATGTCTATAATGTGTACGCTATTCCTGCTATCGCAATCAACTGAGCTGTGACCAATAGATAGCAGGTTTAGCGTACACATTATAGACATTATACACATTCGTTAATCTAAGTAGTTTGTAAAAGCTGTTATCTTGGTCAATGTATTTACTGACTTGACTGTTTGAGCCCACAGACTGAAGCAAATAGGATTACATTGGAGTCTGGCCCAACGCCAAAACAGTGATTGATGACATATTTTACAAACGACTTAGATTAACGAATGTGTATAATGTGTACAATGTGTACGCTATTCCTGCTATCGCGATCAACTGAGCTGTGACCAATAGATAGCAGGTTTAGCATTAACACTCAAACTTACTGCTCAAACTGGATCTTTTTACACTGAAAAGAATCATCAGCCACAAGCAGCAGCGAACGGGACTCTCAGTCTCACACTTTCATCTTTCATGCAGCGATCAAAGTTTGTTTTTTGCACTTTTCCTTCAACCACAACAAATACATTTTAACGACATATTCAGCACGTTTTGGTTAGAATTACAACATCATTTTGAATACAATTATTGGCGATCACCAAAAACATAGTAAGGTAAATACCCTCTTGTGAAAGCCAGATTTCTTTCAAAAGCAAAGCAGTGCGGGCCCGGTTAGAACAATGATGGGAGACGGTTTGGAATTCCAGGTGCCACAGTGGGGAGGCTGAGGCTGTAAAGTGCTTAAGCAGTTATTGTGTCCTTAGGCAAGACACTTCTCTCACATTGCACAGAGTGAGTTTGGTGTGTTGGAGAGTGATGGTTGACAGGGCAGATGGCATAGATTGACTGCCACACATCTGTCAGTCTGGCCTTGGGCAGGTGTGGAGTGATGGATCAATTTACTGTAACTGTACTGTCATGAAAGAATTACACAAAGAGGAAGCTTAGAAGAAAAATGTCTGCCCACATTACCTGCTGGATCAAACAATAGTATGATGTGCAGACAGGTACTTCTGTCTGTGGCCTGTAGAACCCTGTCTGTGGCCTGTAGAGCTCTGTCTGTGGCCTGTAGAGCTCTGTCTGTGGCCTGTAGAGCTCTGTCTGTGGCCTGTAGAGCTCTGTCTGTGGCCTGTAGAGCCCCGTCTGTGGCCTGTAGAGCCCCATCTGTGGCCAGTAGAGCTCTGTCTGTGGCCTGTAGAACCCTGTCCGAGGCCAGTAGAGCCCTGTCCGTGGCCAGTAGAGCCCTGTCCGTGGCCAGTAGAGCCCTGTCCGTGGCCAGTAGAGCCCTGTCCGTGGCCAGTAGAGCCCTGTCCGTGGCCAGTAGAGGCCTGTCCGTGGCCAGTAGAGGCCTGTCTGTGGCCAGTAGAGCCCTGTCCGTGGCCAGTAGAGGCCTGTCTGTGGCCAGTAGAGCTCTGTCTGTGGCCTGTAGAACCCTGTCCGTGGCCAGTAGAGCCCTGTCCGTGGCCAGTAGAGCCCTGTCCGTGGCCAGTAGAGCCCTGTCCGTGGCCAGTAGAGCCCTGTCCGTGGCCAGTAGAGCCCTGTCCGTGGCCAGTAGAGGCCTGTCTGTGGCCAGTAGAGCTCTGTCTGTGGCCTGTAGAGCCCTGTCTGTGGCCAGTAGAGCTCTGTCTGTGGCCTGTAGAGCCCTGTCTGTAGAGCCCTGTCTGTAGAGCCCTGTCTGTAGAGCCCTGTCTGTAGAGCCCTGTCTGTAGAGCCCTGTCTGTAGAGTCCTGTCTGTAGAGCCCTGTCTGTAGAGTCCTGTCTGTAGAGCCCGGTCTGTAGAGCCCTGTCTGTAGAGCCCTGTCTGTAGAGCCCTGTGCGTAGAGCCCGGTCTGTAGAGCCCTGTCTGTAGAGCCCTGTCTGTAGAGCCCGGTCTGTAGAGCCCGGTCTGTAGAGCCCTGTCTGTAGAGCCCTGTCTGTAGAGCCCTGTCTGTAGAGTCCTGTCTGTAGAGCCCTGTCTGTAGAGCCCTGTCTGTGGCCTGAGCAGAGGCAGCCTGGGCATCCTCACTTATACTACTGTAACAGTGCACTGCGGTCACTCGGGTCCATACAGACCTACATCTGAGGACACTTCCCATGTGCTGCATTTACATTCAAAGCCTGACCCTCATGCCGAAGGATCAAGGAGTTCTGAACAGATGCTTTAACTTATGAAGATGCAGTGTGCAGGGAAAACCAAGCTTCTCTTCCTTCTTTTATGTTGGAGATCACAAAGAGAAGAACTCATTAGGCTGTAGCGGTAAAAGTCAGTCTCTCTCTCGTTGTGTTTGTTACTAGCCTCTTCATGAGTTACAGATCAGGGACTGGTACCATTATTAAGGCCTTAAATAAAAAAATAATGTAAATAATTAAATATATTCCAAACAATGTACACATCGGGGGATTTTGAATGGGATCCAGAGCAGACTGCTAAGTGCACAGCCATTGCACAATATTTATTTTGTTTTATCAATATGTTTGCTAGTTGGACACAGACAGAACAGACGACTCCAATAGATGTTATACCTGCTTCGAATACAAAGTTGAGGCCATACAAGTCGAAATTAAATAAATATGAGTCGAAACCAATGATGTGTCTCCATGTCTTAAACACATTCTCATTCACACACTGAGAGAACTGCATACGGCCATTGTGTCCTTGGGAAAGACACCAAAGTCTCAGTCCCAGCCTTTTTTGTGTCTAGGACTCATTGATAATTATAATCTGCGATAATCCATACACAAAATAATCCATTCTTGATCATCAGCTCAGGTCAGCCTCGTCCTGGAAGTCTGCCTGTATCTTACTGTAAAAGCCTATGCTGCTGACGTCATTCACCAGAGGGACCAATGCAGTTACATAAGAGCCAGACACAGCCGAGTGCCTCCAGTCTCCCCCCCCCTCCTCCCCCCCCTCCCTCCCTTCTCCATACATAACACTATACTTCCTGCATATTTAAGTCTATATCTGCAGGCAGCTGTGAAATTATTCAGGAATATGGCTGAATACAAACAGTGCCACATGCTCAGGTCCTCTCGAGTATAGGACTTTAACGATGACCCATTTGGAAGACAGAGATCAATAATATTTCATGGTAAAATCCCCTCAAGTAATTGACACTCAAGCAATTGATTTAAATGGATTTTGGTCGATTGAGAAACGTATTCGACTGATACATATTTTGTTTTAGATATGGTGTAAAGTCATACATTTTTAGGCTTTTTTGAATCTTGAGAATCAAGACATACAAGCGGTATTGAAAAAGCAAACATACAGTATGACAGTGGCCTGCCTAGTAACACACTGAACTTTGGCAGCTCCCCACACGCACAAACACACACACACAGAGACACACACATACACACACAAACAGTACACCCATACAAACTCCAGTATAAACACAGCAGCATGTATCCAATATAGAAAGTGAGGTCATCTGATATAAAAAGCTATCATATTCAGCAGACAAAAAAGTAATCTATTCCAGCTTGAGCGGCGAACACATTATATAACTAGCATAGAGGCCACCGCCGTGTATTCCTGGCCCTCTGAAGTCTAAGTATGTGTGGAGTCCTTGTGGTGTGTGGCCAGGAGGGTTGGCTGTAGGTTTAGCCAGAAAAAAAAAGAAAAACTTTGAAATGAGTTGCTCTATTATACAGAAGATTCAAGGGAAACCAGCTGCAGATGGGAAAACACCACTTGGAGGAGGAGGAGGAGGAGGAATGAGTGCAGGCAATTGGGTTAGAGCAGATTCTGACTTCTACAGAGGAAAGAGGGAGTGTGCTGTGTTTAAAATGGGAATAAAAAGCAGGATTTTGTGCAGGAAGATGAGTTTTTATCAGAGAGAATAGTTTCACCAGGTTGAAAGACTAAACATGTGTGTGTCTGGTATGTAGGTGTAGGTGTAGTGGCCTTACATAATGTCAATGAGATAAGGCTGTTCTTCAATGGGATGGTTGCAATAGTTGTGTCTGATGTGACTTTGTGGTGCTGTGTGCCCTTGGGTCTCAAGTAGTTTGGGACATAGAGAAAAAAAACACTTCTGCTCAATGTTGCGACACGTTTATTGTCGTCTAGTCGCCCATTTTTTTTCAATTGTGGACATGACAAACAACAAATTGCAACTACGTTTAAAAAAAAAATTGATTTTATTTTGTTCATATTTGTAATGAATAATTACATATGATTTTATTTGCTTTTGAGTTTTTTTTTTTTTTCATAAACATGTGGATGTTTAGCAGAACTTTTTATTTCACATTCGAGAGGATTCCAGTTTTACTCCGGTCACTGATTCCAATGTTCCAATTCCAATTCTTCTATCATACAAGTTTGTCTAAAGAATGAAGCATAATTTGTGACTACATCCCTTTGAAAGAGAATGCTAATATATATGTACATGTTTACAGCCTGCAGGGTGATCAGTGTGTATATGTGTAAGGATGTATAGTGTCCTGAGACTCACCTCCCTTTACTAGCAGCCCACATGTTAAAGTGTAGGCAGCTCTGGCCACAGGTTTTACGGGCACATGTCAGCGGGGAGGATGCAGGTTGTCATGGAGGCTGCTTGAACCATATTCTCCAACACATGGCACTTTCCCTAAAGCCCTGCCCACCCACACTGTGCCACAATGGAGCCACTCTAATCCTCTCCTCTCACACACCTCCTCTGCTCCACTCTCTAAAGAGCTGTATGTCTTTTACACACAGCTACAGGAATAGTCCATGCAAAGGTTTGCATGCACTACTTTCTTCAGTTCTGCAGTTACACCATTTAAACTGCCACATCTCTCAAGACAAAACAGAAAACTATTCAAAATGACTAATCACAGGGAAAGGAGGACAGTAGCACAAAGGCAGATAACTACGTTTAGAGACTTAATATATTGATGAAAACATCCAGCACGTGCACTCACACAATGAGAAATGTGTTCATCTGCATGAAACAAACAAAGAGAAGCCAGGAGAAAATAACAAAGAGCCGCTTCTGTCCCACATGGCTCTCACCACGTGTGCTCTTAAACCTTATGCCCATTACACCGACTTTTAACTTACTCTTTCACTAACTCTTCTTGTTGCAGCAGGTAGACAGTGTCTGCTGTCTGCAGTCATGATGCCACAGAGATATGAATACATCCACATCATTCTAATAAAACAACAGTGCACTTTCTGCACACAAAGTGTCCTTACCTTCAGTCCGATGTCTGCTCTGTCTCTGAGCGCTGCTTTCTGCTTTATATCCACATGATTCTGTCGCGTCTCCCGGACACAAATCTCAGCCGCACTTCCATGTGCTCAGCCACACGCGCTCAGCCACACGCGCTCCGTGCGGCGCACGGGATTTGGCGCGTGACGTCACGGCAGGATCAGAGTCGCTCCATAAATGATCAAGGTAGAGGTTTGTTCATAATATAACATTATATCTGCACCAAAGTCATTCTGCTGACTCTGGTTGTAATTTTTCGCTCTCAGACTAATATTTTGCCAATGTCTGTCCATCCACGTGCGCATCCACGCTTCTGTGCCACACGCACCAACCCAAGTCCTGAAGCTGAAGTGAACAGCGCTGTTTGGATCTCTATGAACTGAGTGTCACAGGAGGACGTGAAAGGAAACCAGAGAATAGAGACTAAAGACTAGATACTAGAGCTGAGAGCCGAGAGAGCCTGGTCCTGGAGGTGTGAGCCAAAGCTGTTCCACTTCACACACTGCTGAACTGTGGAGATCACTTTCTCTCTGACTGTGACACGTGACTCTAGTGTCACTGTTTTTCATCAGAATGAAGTGGACCCAGACTCTGGGGCAGGTCCACTGTGGTTAAGACCCACCGACCATTGGACACTAGTCTTTACTAAATGGTCTTGGAACAACTGACTTTGGTGTCTTTATCACGAGACACAAGGGTTTCAGATGAGGAGACGGTTGCCATGGTTATTATATTAACCATTTTAAAATGGGGAATATTTCTCAATATGTTGCTTCTAAGAGGACACTGCAGGTCATGCATCCTGCACATGTTTGTGTGAAATAATTTAAGAGTTTTATGGCAAAGGACACAAACACAAGTCAAGAAAAGCGTTTTATATTTGAAAAAATCTAGGAACAAAATGAAAAACCAAACACTGGGTCTGAACATCCAGACAATTGATCCAAAAATACATTTTCTTAAGAAATATTTAATTATGTACAAAACATAAAAATGTATATTTTACTTTGGGTTATTGACATAACAACCCATTTTCATATTTTATTAATAAAAATAAACTTTAAATATTTACTCCACCCATAACTTCAATTGAGGCAGTTTTAACATTGAAATCAAACAAGATTCCAAAACTTAATCTTGCATTTGCATGCAACAACTGTACACCCTAAGTCATGAACTTGCATAAAAAAGGTAACCCAAAAGTCTGTAGTGTCTCAGGCTCGACAGTGCAGCTGTGCCAGTCTCTGCTTTAACACTTCACTTTTCCTCCGCAGCTGCTCTTTGAGCGACACCAGTCTCTGCTCGTCCGACTGCATGCTGTAGATGCACTCTGTGGCCTTTTTCAAGATCACCACTTTAGCTGCCTTCTCGTTGTTGGCCACCTCTGGGATCTCGTCCCTCAGTGCAAAGAAGCTGAGTTTGAGCTCGTTCCTCCGCTGCCGCTCCAGCACGTTGTGAGTCCTTCTCTTGTCATAGTCCTCAGTGTCTGACGTCCGCGGACTTAAACACTTGCGATTACTGCTGATCTGTTTGAGCACCCGGTGACTGTGGCCGCCACCGCCGCCACCGCCGCCGCCGCCGCCGTTAGGGCTCTCCAGCTTGAGCCTCTTGACAGCCGGCTGCTCGTGCCTCATGGATGGGTGAGCGGCGTAGTTGTGCTGGTGGGTGGAGACGTGGCACCTCTTCAGCACTAAGGGGCCGGGGTGCCTGCTCTCCGAGGGGCTGAGGTCGTAGCGCTTCACTGACTGCCTCTTCTCCACCGTAACCACATCGATCTCCTCCTCTTCCTCCTGATCCTCCTGCTCCTCTTCATCATCGTCGTCATCATCATCATCGTCATCTTCTGCAACAAACAGTCCATTAGTATCAGGCTCAAACAAACTATTCATGCATAATTAGCCCACCATCCAACACATCATATAGATTCTTTCAGTACGGGAGGGTGGGAGACTGCAGTCAAATTAATGAAGTATTAAAAACCAATCACACAAAACATGAATCCATAAACATGACCATCACACGCACAGTGCTCTGATTCTGGGTGGTGGGCTGTGAAAGGAGAGGGGTGTGTCTGTGATGCTGCTTACCAGAGTCACTACAGCTGCTGCTGCTGCTGCCGCTGTTGGGCGGTGTGTCCAGTCCTAAGTCCTTACTGGGAGACACCACACTGGTCTGTTTGGGCACCTCTGCCACTGGGTACGGGAACACCACAGACGGGTCGATGCACTCAGACGCCGCTGTGCTCAAGTCCTGGAGGTAGCTGCTGTTATGTCTCCACGGTGCAGCCCCAGGGGCGTCTGCCTGATCCCCACACGCAGACTCCTTCCTGGAGGCGTGCAGAGAGGCAAGCCTTTCAGACACGACCTTCTCCAGTTTGGCAGCGGCAGAAAACCCGCTCCACATGCAGTCCTGGATGATGATGGACTTGAGGAAGGTCTGGGAATAGTCCGCGTCGCAAATGATGCTCTGGTTGACCGCGTCATCGCCCAGAAACTCCGTGACCATCTCCAGCTGATCTGCAGACGACGGGAACAGGCTGGACAGAGACGGTCTGCGGCTGGGGGACAGTGGAGGGGTGGGCAACAGTTCAAATTTCTTCCAGATGTCCTCACTGGGGGCCGGGGGCTGGAGCTGCTGCGAGTAGAAGTCCTCCTCCTCGTTATCGTAGTAGAAATATGGCTGCATGGAGTCGTAATCGTAATCATAGTTTTTACTCGCTAAACTTGGATTCAGCGGCATGGTGCGAGGGCTTGGAGCTGGAGTCCCGCTATCCTTGTTGGGGAATCTGATCCAAAAATAAAAAAATAAAAGAAGAAGCGAGTGATTAATCGGTTGTGCAGAGTTTGACAGATATCATGCCTGCATCATGTCAAGAGTAAGCAGCGTCACATGGCCAGTTCAAAACATCCACCCAGGTTGCACGCCGTGAGTGCATGCACCGCTTCTGTCTGCACCCGCTACTACGAGTAAACACTACTAAATGCTAAATATTATTGTAATTTACACTGGGAACCAATGCACTTGCGCTGTGCACTTAGCAACTATCTGTCACTATCTTGTTCCAATTCAAAAACCCTGTCTTATCTTACCTTTAGAGCTCAAATCTCTTCGCGGGATTTTGCAAGAAAGCTGCAAAAAAGGGGGAACGGCGAGTAAATCCAACGGGAAAGTGGCATGTAATCCGCGGCGTGGTGTTGTGGTGGAGCCGTGGGAATCGTGCAGGCGTGTGGAAGTCTGAGCAGGCTGCAGAGGCGCCGTGCGTGCCGTACGTCAGTCATCAGCGATGTGTGAATCACAGCTGAGTCCGAGGAGAGCGCGCCACAGTAATATGAAGGACGCGTCACGACTCTCAGCGCGCATGTGTATCCCTCCGCGCAGGTCCCCGCCAAACCATACACACGCACTGAGCGGCTCACCATAGACTGTACTGTAACACGCCCTGTTTTCAGCTTTGTGTTTACAACCAGAGAGACGTGGGATAAAATGTATGTCTTTGGTTTAGCCTGGGGATCATGAATTTTGACGATTTTTTTTGCTTTTATTTTGCGTATTTACGTAATATCGCTCGGTCTACTTTCTGAAGAAGTGGGAGGGGTTATAGTAAAGGACCATTGACTGGAGACCTGCTACAGACATGCGAAAAATATTAATGTAGACTGTATCGAATAGTGACAGCGAGCTAATTATCCCTCTGTTTACTCACTGGAATATTATAAAAACGCTGCTGTAGTCGTAGACATGAGCTGAGGCCCAAAACGTGAATAGAATTTTGAGCCAAATCAATACAGAATGAGGGGCATGTGGGATGAGAAGCAGTGCGTCTGTTGTAGAGATGCTGATGACTTGTATGAAATGTTTTGAGACATAAGTGAGGCTCAGCTGCTGCAGCTTCAGTCTCCAAATCCTTTCAAACTCACAGATGCATTCACGGCCCTCACCCCAATTCTGATCATATGTGTCTTCAATGGCAAACTTTCAATGTTAGACAGATAGGCACCGAGAAAGACGAGGGAGGAAGCTTTTCTAAATGTTTATTGATATGGGCTTTTTTGGTGCGGTGGGATGAGCGCAGACCCAGCCCCAAAGCATTGGGGTTCAGTGGAGTCGGAGCGCCCTCTGCTGGGAGAAAGTGTTACGACTGGAGGGTGGTCAGGGGTCAGCGGTTCCCGATTATATCTGTGGAAGATATATATACCGTATGTAAAATAGCAATAAATAATAAATAATGATATAAAATAGCAACAAACAGTGCATTAAGAAGGTTGTTTTACTCCTGAGCCTAATTTTCTAAACCATTTTCATTTCATGTGTTTATTTATTCTAAGCTATTTACACAATTATTGTAATTTACAGTATTTACAAATTAGAGGGATTCCTTGTCACTCCTGTCATTATAGTTTACACCATAATATCATGCAAATCAACATTAATTCATTATATATATAGAATACAGACCTCTATTTCCCATACAGTATAACGTAATATGGTATGGAGATATAACTTGAGAGACAGTAACTGGCTCCACGGCTGATCAGGAAATGTGTCTCTGTGATGGGGAGAAGTGTGGACTCTGCGGGAGCTGTGCTGGAGAGAAGGATGAGGGCTCTAATGCAGGGCACCCTGGGTAACTCCAGACACCCTCTGACACTGGCCGCTCAGAGGAGTAGTCGAAGCAACAGGCTCCTATCACTACGCTGCCAAACGGAACGTTTCAAGAGATCCTTTGTTCCTTCAGCTGTCAGACTGTACAACAAACCTGACTGACTGTACAACAACAAAAAGAGTCTTCTGCTGCTGGACACCTGAATTTCTCCTATGGGGGATCAATAAAGTATCTATCTATCTACTGTATCTATCTATCTATCTATATCTAAAATGGATTCTCATGATTCGCAATCACAACATGATTTATTTGTTGAATGCAACACTTTTGAGAGACTACTTTCGCCACGTTAAAGTTTTACACAAAGATCACTATGTGTGTGTGTGTGTGTGTGCGTGACGTGTGTGTGTGTGTGTGTGTGTGTGTGTGTGTGTGTGTGTGTGTGTGTGTGTGTGTGTGTGTGTGTGTGTGTGTGTGTGTGTGTGTGTGTGTGTGTGTGTGTGTGTGTGTGTGTGTGTGTAATAATACCAGATATTGATTTGACAACATTGGAAGTCATTGGGGGCTCCGTCTCAAACACACTTCTTTCTGGTCTGGTGGGAAAATCAATAAGAAATCTGTCTGAGAATTGTGGATCTGCAAAAGTCTGGTTCATCTCTTCAGTTGCAGAAAGATTGTAGGTGTCCCATTCATCTATTTGAACAATATTAGGAACACATTTTGTATTTATTGACATTTATTTAAGCAGGATCTAGTCCCACTTTCATAATGTTAAAATCTCTGTCGCTGGGGAGTCCTGGCCCCAGAGAGAGGGAGCCTGAATGTCGAGCCATAACACCTCTCTGTAGGGAGGAGAGGACGGAAGCTACAGACCCTGTGAAGATGATGGCTGAAGTAAGAACATGTCATTGTCCACAGTGGCTTGATGAGGAGGAAGTCATCGCTCCAAAAAAAAGAAAAACAAAAGTGACACAAGAGTGATTGAGTGAAACTGAATTGGAATGGACTAATGTGGAAAGAGCCCGATGCTTTTCAAGCAGGGAGCGCCATCCCAACTCTGAATGGGGGTGGTAGTCTCATGTTGTGGGGCAGAGTTGCTGCAGATGTTGGTGTTCTGATTTTGGGCACACACAAAAAAAGAAATTTGTATTTCTTATATTTATTGCAACTTTTTTTTAAACAAGATACAAAATAAACAGCAATAGTTGTAACAATGTGGTTACATTGTTTTGAGAATGTATTTATACCAGTAATAACATTTTGATCAGAAAATGCTAACCCTGGTACAATCATTATTCTGTTCAGAAGCAAACAATGGTTTAATAATTCAAAACCCACAATCAATGAAGCTGGGGCAAAACAGGAATATTTCTTGCACAAAATCTACATCCTAAAAATTGGTTTAAAGTAGGTACTTAAAAATGTAAATCGTCAAAGCTTAGAGCAGAGGATATGTCTCTGATTATTACAAAATCTGCAGACAGAAAAGTGAAAGTTCTGTCTGTGAGGTTCCCACCTGAAATTAAGCCTCCTCTCTCCCCGGCTCACTTCCTCCTGCGGCGCTGAGGTGGAGGATAGTAATCTAACTGCAGCAGTTATTGGACCCGGATGTGTCCAGATGGACTTCTCTTCCAGCGTCTGGAGCCACAGACAAACGGCTGCCAACACGTCTGATTAGTGAGTAACCCAGAGGGATTTAAGAATAACTATTGTTCTTCCTATTCCGGATTTAAACAAACAAAACAACACAGAACAATGTAAACCAACAAGAGGGAAGGACATCCATGAAGCAGATGTACTGTACCTCCACACGTCAGATCTGTGTGTTCTTGATCAATGAAAAATATCTCAGATGAACACAAACTATATTGAAAATGTGCGTAACCTATGTTTGTCTACGCAATTACAGACTTCCTGCTTTGATCTATGAATAAATGGCATTATGAAGAAATGAATGTGGATGTAAGCAGGGCAGGGCCAGTAGTATCTTCACCAGTGTGAGTGAGTCATGCTGCTGAGCTGACACTTGTTGGGGGAGATTGAGAGTCAGATGTGCCACATGTCTGGGATAAAGCCGGAAATCTATAAGAGCGGAGCTGGGGCTCTGGGCAGGATGCTCCCGAGCTAATTGGGCCTTGAATTATTGATGCTGACAAAAGACTTTTATTGACAAAGACTGGAGGAGGAAGCATCCCTAACCACAGTTACATAACAGTATTTTTACTGTGGAGTCTGAATACTTTGAATACTCACTCATACATCTGGTCATAGATTAGTTTTGTTTTCTGAACCTTGACATCACATTTAAAACCAATATACATATAAGTGTATCTTAACCTTAACCTAACATCACAAACACACTTAAACACTAAACCATTTAGCATTTTAGTGATTTGTTCAATTTGCACAACAGTTTACTAAGTACATCTTCATACAAATACAGTCTTCTTCTTGTCAGCTGCGTTCATTCATGAACAGATGATCCGTTCATACATTTGTACAGTGCACTGTTGCTGTGTGTGAGTGATTCTGTCCATTTGTGGTTAAGTAAAAACGAGACGAGATCAATAACATATGAACACTACACAGGCTCAGTCAGTAAATGGAATAAACACAGCTTTAGATCCCCCACTGCTGGTTTTCGAGCCCATGCTGCCCCCTTGTGGCCGTTTACAACAGAACAGTTTTCAAAAGTACATCTTTGGAATGAGAACTTGTCATGAAATTTGGCATCATCTTATTTTATCTTTCTGGGATACGTGTATTTATTGGTAGTAGCTAAGAGAAAACATACAATCAGCCTACTGTTGTTTTTTATTCATAACCAATCAATCAACTTTTATTTGTATGGCGCCTTTCCAACACAAGGCAACTCAAAGCGCCTCACAACCCACATCATATCAAACAAATCAGAAACATTAAAATCTACATATACATATAAAAAAAACAAAAAAACCCAGAAAAACAGAAGAAAATCACAAGTAATTAAAAACCTTAAAAGATTAAAAACAAACAGGATTGAAATAATAAATAGCCACAATGCATTTAAAGAGTATCTATAATCTACAAAATCCTTCTATAAAATCCTTCAGCTGTATGCACAGCTAAACAGAGCAGTTTTTAACCTTGATTTGAAAACTGCCAGAGTAGATGCTAGCCTCACATCTTCAGGAAGATTGTTCCAGATTTTAGCTGCATAAATCTGAAACGCTGCCTTCCCATGTCTAGTTCTGACTCTTGGAGCCAGCAAGAGGCTACCACCTGTGCTCCTCAGAGTCCGGGCCGGCTCATATGGCACCGTTATGTCGCTTAAGTACTTTGGAGCGAGGCCATGGAGATACTTGTACACAAGCAGAGCTGTTTTAAAGTCTATTCTCTGAGCCACAGGAAGCCAGTGTAGAGACCTGAGAACTGGACTAATGTGGTCGTACTTCCTGGTTCTAGTCAGGACTCGAGCTGCTGCATTTTGAATGTACTGCAGTTGTTTTACAGCCTGTTTGGACAGACCTGTGAGCAGGCCATTGCAGTAGTCTAACCTACTGGAGACAAATGCGTGGATGAGAATCTCTAGATCTGCTTTAGACACTATGTTTCTAATTTTGGCAATGTTTTTCAGATGGTAAAAAGTTGCTGATGTTACTGATTTGATGTGACTGTTAAAATTTAAGTCTGAATCCATTATTACGCCTAGGTTTCTGACCTTACCTAAAGGTTCGAGGGAGAGAGACTGTAGGTGACAAATAACGCTCTCTCTTTGTTTCTGGGGACCAAAGACAATCATTTCAGTTTTGTCTGCGTTTAGTTGAAGGAAGTTGTTTTGCATCCACTCACTGATCTGTTGGATACAGTGAAGGAGTGAGTCCACTGGTCCATGTTCTCCTGCAGTCAGTGAGACATAGATCTGAGTGTCATCAGCGTAATTGTGGTAGGAAACATTGTTAGTGCGTATTAACTGACCTAACGGCAGCATGTACAGTAAATATTGAACAGAAGAGGCCCCAGGATCAACCCCTGTGGTACTCCACAGGTCAGGGCCATATGATCTAAGACACAGTTTCCAATCTCAACCAAGTATTTCCTGTCTTCTAGGTAAGACCTAAACCAACTTAGGGCAGTTTCAGTGACACCCACCCACTCTAGCCTCTGCATGAGGATCTTGTGGTCGACTGTGTCACTCAGATCAAGCATGACTAAAACTGTGACTTTTCCTGTGTCGGTGTGAAGTCGGATGTCGTTTGTAACCTTCACTAGAGCAGTCTCAGTGCTGTGATTGGCTCTAAAGCCGGACTGGAACATATCAAAAGAGCTGTTAGTTACTAAGAATTCTGTAAATTGTTGGTATGCAACTTTTTCAAGCATTTTTCCCATGAACGGCAGATTTGAAATGGGCCGGTACTTCTTAACCCACAAACCCATATGTTAATTTAAATAACGTAAAAAGATTTGGCTGGAGGATTCTGGGAGATGACTGTAAAAAAGTGAATGATTAAAAGAACAATGGTTTCATGAAATTGAGAAAAACATATTTATTATTCAAGTAAACATTCTCATAACATAAAAAAACCAATAGCAAAACTTGAAAATACTAGGAAAGGTTCATCCTCCTCTGGCCTCTGCACTGGTCCTTGGCTCCACAGAATTACACAATGGTCAATGGTTTTTCACGTTTATTGAATTTATTGAATGTTTTGTTGATGGTTTTTTGTATCCGTTATATTCTTAAAATTAAAATGTTGTGATAAAAACAAATAATTCAAAAATAAAGGGTTTTACTGATGACTGCATTTTTGTTTTTGCTCATATCCTGAGTGCTCAGTTGGACTCAGAATCACTGTGACTACTTTGATGTCATGTTACTAACTTACTTTCACCTACTACCCGTCCTGGGGCATAAGTGTCTCAATCTTGAGCTTTCTGCTCCAGCTGTTTCCACGTGTGTCCCATCCTCTTGGTGTCTACCTCCAGGTCTCGTCATGTTAAGTCCTGGGGCGACAGTGGCTCAGTTGGTAGAGCATTGGCCTTTGAGCCTCATGAGACCTTCTCCACCGTTTCCCACTGACGTCTGCTGTCGCTGTGTCCTTGGGCAAGACACTTAACCTACTTTGCCTATAAGCACAGAAGTGATGTTTACTGCTTGCCTTGATGTGTGCATGTGTATATGTTTAAGTGTATATGTGTATGTGTATGTGTATGCATCAAACTGAACTTTCCCCATTGTGGGACTTCGTCTTCTTCTTCTTCTTCTTCTTCTTCTTCTTCTTCTTCATTATTATTGTCATGAGTTCCAGCAGAGCACCAGTGGACTGTCACATGTCCACAATCCATCAACAGGGACAGGATCAAATTATTTCATTCATTCAATTAGACATTTCTCTATTCAACACCATTTCATGTTCCTTCTGTTTTGGAAGTCTCTCATGGGTTGAATAAATGCACACAGTGGTTATGTGTTGAAAGATCTGTTGTATATTTTATAAACTACTTGTATTGTTCTGGTATGTATATCTCTACATGTTAAATGTATGTAGAGCAGGACACAAATCTATTTCTAAACATCGAAAGCGAGCCATGTTTAGAAATGTTTAGAAACATCGAAAGCGAGGCTCACATGGACACTGGTCCAGATGGAAACTCAAGAAACAAATGCTGGCATATTTTTCCCCTCTTTATAATTTTTTGGAAGAATATTTTCAAGACAGATTTAATTTTGACCAGTAAGAATGACTTGTTTGGGGGTATTTCCGCGTTTTGACCACTAGAGGGCGTTAGATTTGTTTCCAAGAGTTATCTCAGTCTAAATTACATGATCAATAAAGGAAATTATCTTTGGCACTAACTGACATTTCCCTTTACATTTGTATGAAGAAAAAAAAACTCTTGATAATCAAAAATAACTTGTTTTTAAATATAAATCATGATGAACCAGCCACAAGTCCTGACTTCCTCCAGGAACTGCCACCAACCACGGAGCAATGATAAGACTCTTTAATACTTATTATTATAAACGGTCTAATTACACATCGGTTACGCATCATGACTCCCAGCTCTGTGCTCTTTGCTCCAGACACGTTTGGGCTGACCAGGCATGACGTCACACCCCTACGCAAGCACGTGTCGATGTTGCGCTTCGGGGATCGACGGAAAGAGCCGAGCGCAGCCGAGGAGCGCGCAGACAGAGCAGGCACAGCAGGCACAGCGCGCACCGACCTCCGCCAACACTTCCCTGTTTTGAAGAGCTTTCGTCACACGCAGGGACGGTCCTCTACCTTCGGGGTTGATGCCACTGAGCGTGTGTCCTCTCTCACTGGACCATGACCTGTGGTGGAGAAGATGCAGTGGTGTGAGATTCTTCCCACGGACCCCGCAGATCATCACTGACGCGCGGCCGCCTTACCTTCCCCGGGGCTGCCTCCTCCACGGACCCCGCTCCTCCGCTGCCTCCTGCCTCCCCCCCTTGTACAGGTGCTGTGATTGCCTTCCAGTCGGTGATCTCTGAGCTTCTTCAACCCCCCCAGACGAAGGCAGATGCCCGTCGCCCTGTCATCCCGTCATTATGGTGGAGTTTCCATCCCTCACCCCTTACTTGCCTCTCCTCCGCTTCCTGGTGCCTTTGGCGATCACCAATGTGGCCATCGACCTCGGGGAGCAGGTACGTGTGCGTGTGTTTTTCCGTGGGCAGGGTCTCAAACACGCACATATATTTCACAATTCCCAGTGCGTATGTGCCATAACCTCAGCCTGCGGACAGTCTGCGAGCGTCCTATTGTCGCTGTAGCTTATTGCGACATGAATGCGTTTGATCCGTGCCAGTGCTGGTCTGAACCGAGTGAGAGACACTGGGATTGAGCATATCACCTTTAAACTCTTCACATACAGTGGACATAGAGACTTTCCATCCGCGCCAGGCCCTTTTTGTCTACATAAACTAAAGCCCAGCGCAGTCAGACCAGGCTCCCGGGTCTGGGGTCGCCCTCCCGTGTGCGTGTGTTATGAGGGAGAACCACAGCGGTACAGTAGGCCCCTTCCTGCTTCTGTTCTTTTACTGTATATTTCCGCTCAGCTCTGGGCAGAGGACTGATCTTGCCTCTGTAATCAGGGACCTCATGGATGGTGTGATCCCAAAAACACACAGGCAGGAGATGTGCGGATTAAGCTTATGTAATGACTGTTCGCTGGTATAAATAGCGCGCTGTCACGTCAAGGGAAAAGGGCAATAGTAGTAAAGGTAAAACTCATAGAACGTCCTTCACTATAGTGTCATAATGTTTCCTAATTAGGTTGGTTTACTACTTTCTTTATAAGCAGCACACGGTCACTGATGTGGCTGAGCTGAGGATCATGTGAGGCGGTTATTTACAAAGTGACTTCTCTCTTTCAGGCTCTCAACAGGGGCATAGCCACTGTCAAAGAGGACACAGTAGAAATGCTGGCCAGCTATGGTCTGGCATATTCTCTGATGAAGTTCTTCACGGGGCCCATGAGCGACTTCAAGAATGTGGGCTTGGTGTTTGTCAACAGTAAGAGGGACCGCAGGAAGGCCGTCCTGTGCATGGCGGTGGCAGGAGCCATCGCTTTTGTTCTGCATATCTTAATAGGTGTGTGAGAACAGTTGTCCACATGATGATGAGGTTTGCTTAAACCGCTCTATAAATTCCCCACATCAAAATGAGAGGAAAAAGGAGAAGAACAATCCTCTGACCCTGTGTCTCTTCTGCTTGTGTAGCCTACACAGATTTAGGCTACTACATCATTAATAAACTGCACCATGTGGATGATTCAGTCGGACACAAGACAAGGAAAGCCTTCTTATACCTGGCAGCGTTCCCTGTGCTGGATGCCATGGTGAGTGTTGTGTAGTGTTCCAGGAGCAGTGTTATGGTGTGTCGTCTCAGTGGTGTTTGTGTGTGAGCTTGTGTGTGATGTCCAGTGTTGTAACATTGTTGTTGGTTTTTAGGCCTGGATTCATGCAGGGATCCTCCTCAAGCACAAATGCAGTGTGATTGTAGGCTCTGCCTCCATTTCAGACGTTGTGGCTCAGGTAATATAACCTAATTGCATTAATTGTCTTCAGCTTCTAATAACACACACTCTTCTGTTGAACAGATTGTGTTCGTGTCCATTCTCCTGCACAGTAACCTGCAGTGTGTGGAGCCGCTGCTCATCCCCATCCTGTCCTTATACATGGGTGCCTTGGTACGCTTCACCATCGTGTGTCTGGGCTACTACTGGAACATCCACGACAACATCCTGGAGTCCAGCGGGCTCGATGTGGGGGTGAGGCTCGCTCTGTAACTACTATGTAACTATGTAAATACACAACTTTGTAAATGGAAATGTAGCTTTAAGCTCTTGACCCTGAGCAAAGGTCTTTGTTTTTCATCATGAAACCCATGGACTGTTGTTGTTGTTGTCGGCCTTTTTGAGGAACACTTATTCTCTCCTTTCAGGGAGATGCCACTATCAAGAAGATGCTGAGCTTCTGGTGGCCCCTGGCCCTGATCCTGGCCACGCAGCGCATCAGTCGGCCCATTGTGAACCTGTTTGTGTCTCGGGACCTGAAGGGGACCACAGATGCTACAGAGGTGACTCTATAACAATAACAATCATTCATTATTTACATTTTCCACTGAGCAACATTTATTTACAATTTTATGAAAAAGCCAGATGCCCCCCCTCTCCTCTAGAGCATTCAGGTTTGCACAGACTGTAACGTCTAAAGACAATACAAAGCACAAAGCTGTTTACCAGAACTGACTGGAATCAGTCACAGCTCTGGCTGCGGGTGGTTTGTGTGATTCACATCCTGTACTGTTCATGACAGGTACACACGGCTGCACAGGTCCTGCTGCTGCTGCTCTGATGGGGCTCTCTCTGGAGATGGCTCTAAAGTCTAAACTGTGTTAAAGAAGTAGGGATGTGTTTGGTGCTCCAGCAGTGTGCCAGAGCCATGTCCTGGGGCCAGAGCCATGTCCTGGGGCCAGAACCATGTGCTGGGGCCAGAGCTTTTAATGACTTGTATTTGTCTCTTGTCGTGGCAGGCTGTGGCCGTGCTCACCGCCACATATCCAGTGGGTCACATGCCGTATGGGTGGCTGACTGAGCTCCGAGCAGTCTACCCGGCGTTTGACAAGGTGAATAATCCCCTGGACTTGTTTATTTAAGGTGTTTACAAAAGTGCTTTTAAGTCGCCTTTTATCCTTTTCCTGTTTACAGAATAATCCAAGCAATAAGTTAAATTCCGGGAGCCCTGTTACAAAAACGCACATCAAGAGGTTTACATCCTGCTGCTTGGCCTTGTCCCTGACGGTGAGAATCTCGAGATAATTGTTGTTTTGGAGGTTCACATTCACTCTGGCGATTGACAAAACCGGTTTACTGTAATGCAACAACTAAACTGAAGCTGTCACTCTGTTGTCCGGCATGTCCCCGACCTGTGCAGAAGGAAAACCTGGTCATTGAGATTCTCTCTCGAGCTTTCATGCACACTGCCGTTCCACTGCTGCTGTACTTGGTGTACTTTCCTCTGCCATCCATTGGAGGTCTCAAGTTGCAGGGACAAACACTAGAGTGGAATTTGTGTAAAGGCTAAGAGGCCTGCGTCTCCACCCGGACACTCCCACCCAACGTAAAAGCTTTATTAAATAGGTGCTCATGTCAAACGTATCATGAACACATTCCGACAGCGGCCTGCAGGTTGATTTACAGGTTCTTTGTTGTGAAGTCACGCAGGCTGCTTCTGTGTTTACTTCTTTAGACTCTATGTGACGGTGCAGAAGTGAACATTACCTAATGCCCTCGCTGTACTAAAATGGTTTTCCCAATACACCAATCTTTAAATGAGAACAACAGGAAGAGGTGGTGGTTGGGGGCGGGATGGTTGTCAGAGCAGATGTGGTAAACATGTGCGGTGGGTGTGTGTGTGGGTGTGTGTGTGGGTGTGTGTGCGCCTGTGTGTGCGCCTGTGTGTGTGCTGGAAGGTATGGCCTCTATCTGTGCTCCAAATACACTGTAGCTGTCATGCTTCAACATGTTCAGATTTCACTTAAAGTCACAACAACAAAAGGAAACACAGCAACATTTCCTCATTCCAGAAAGATGAGGTCTCCGATATTTTATAGGGGAAAGGATCCAGGGAATTGGGTCGCTTACTGTATATCTCAATCATTTTTGTGCGTGGTCTTCTCTCATGTATTTTGTGGCTAATATATGACCGATTGCACTGCTTGCTGTTGTCGTTTCAGGCCTGTAACATTTAGAAAAGCCTTGTGTGGGTTTTGTTTTCATTCATTGCTTTCATAGTGGCGCGCCTGTCGTTCATGTGATATTCATTCACAAATGCAGCAGGTCTTTAGTCGCCCCGTGTGGTTGTAAATGGTCCGGTACTTCACTATTGTTGGTCCCGTGTCGCTGCCCGTGGGAACAATAGCGTTTGTGTGATGTTTCATGTGGACTTCAAAGGCCCCGTTCATTCCGCTAATGAACCGCCGCCGACACTTTTATTGTGATATTAATTAGCGCCGTCCGTTTCTCCTCAGCTTTGTTTTGTGGTGTTTTGGAGCCCTCATGTATCCGAAAAGATCCTGGTGGATATTATCGGTGTGGAGCAAGCTTTCGCAGAGCTTTGTGTGGTTCCGCTCAGAATTTTCTCCTTTTTTCCTCTGCCAGGTACGTAACATGATGATTGTGCTGTGTTTCCTGTCCAGCTGGGTTTCTTTGTTGAAGTGACAGTTCTAATGAATCTGAGAGGCATTTCCTGTGCTTGTTTGTGGCAGTGACGGTCCGGGCCCATCTGACTGGATGGTTGATGACGCTGAAGAAGACCTTTGTCCTGGCCCCCAGCTCAGTGCTGCGCATCATCGTCCTCATCACCAGTCTCGTGGTGCTTCCTTATATGGGGTGAGCTCCATGCATCTTTTATTGTTTATCTTTAAATCATTTTAATACACAAGTAACGGCACAAGATATAGAACTCATGCATGTTGAATGATGTCTGCAGAGTCCATGGAGCAACGCTGGGAGTTGGGTCTCTTCTTGCCGGTTTTGTTGGAGAGTCAACTATGGTTGCCATAGCAGCCATCTATGTTTATAGAAAGCAGGTAAGAGAACACCTTGGCCGGTCATTCGAGTTGTAATCCTGTCTCAGTCTCTGTGACGTCGCTATGGAGCCGTATTTGATGTGTAGTTGCATTCAATTATTGTCATATACAAAATATAAACACAAAAATAATCGATCTGATGTGTCCAGACAAAAGAGAATAGATTTTGATCACATAAGTGGAACATCCTGGTTTTGTCTGTGGAACAGAGATGTGCCCATTTGGAGGACTTCAGTGTTCCGTGTCAAATCTGCTCTTTACTAAATGTAAAATGTGTTTTCAGAGAGGGGAGACTCTGAATGCGTTGGTGGTGGACGGGGAAGATGCCGCCCCAATGAGCGAGGTGTCGTCCAGGAACCAAATGGACGCTATCGAAGAAGTCCAGGAGGAGGAGGAGGACTGAGGTGTGCTCAGACCAACAGAACTAGAGTCTGGCCTTTATCATGTGGACCAACTCATGTGAACGCACAGTGTATAGAAGCCATGCACCTCCTCATCTGTACATACTGAGACCTCTGCTCCACGGACACTTCATCCACTGAATGTGTTTACTACGAGGGAACAAGGAGGGTCCGAGTACTGGTGCATTTGCCAAAAGTTATTGTTTTTATATCAGGACTAAGGGGCTAAGCCTCATTTTGTTTTGGGTTGTGCAATTGTAATTTACACAGAATAGTGTAAAGCTTGTTTTTATAGGTAATGCCCAATATTGCATTGAGGGGTCAGGAATCTCTCATTTTATCATGTGTGCTAGGAAATATAGATGTTTGTTCCATGCAGTCTGGGGTCACTTTTGTTGTTTTGCCAAATAATATTTTCCTGATAGTCTTCATACTTTGTGTATATACTGTAAAGGAAATTCTTTAATGGCAAATATAGCTTTAATATTATCTTGTGTAGAGATCTTAAATCATAAAAAAAGCTTCCACAAGATGTTTGTTAGATTTCTTTAATGCCATCCAAAATCAGCACTGCAGAAAATTCCTGCAGATGGCATCATGAGTGGTCTCACTGTCACCTTGGGAAATGGTCTCATTGCACTTGACCAACATTCATACTTATTGTGCATTATTTCTAAGGCAACATGGAGGACCAAGCACGCCTTTAACAGAGTCCAGAGCTGGTGGTAGGGACTGTTGCCAGTCTTCATAGCAACATTGGCACACAACTTCTCTCAGAACAGCTTGGTTAAAGGCAACACGTTACACATAGTCCGACACGCACATACCCACCCACACACATACATACATACACACACGCACACTGACAACACACAGTCTGCAACACACTTCAGCCTCTGCCATGTGGTGTGTGTGACCTGGTAAAACCTGATCAATGTATTCTTCCAGTCTGCTTCATATAAACACATTTCCTTCATAACTAAATTACTGAAGTTCTTAATCAAGGTGCCCAAATCCAGTGTAAAACTCGACACATGATTCCATACTGTTGGCAGCTCTCCCATGTTGACAAATCCATTTACAAAATCCTTATATATTAAACATGAGAGATTCTTCCTGCAGACACGTTGCAGGCCCATGTGAGACGACACAGACGATGATTGGAAATGCTCCTTACAGTACAGTCGAGTGCATGTAAGCCACGGGGCCAGTTCTGTTTTCTAGGTGGACCTGAGGAGTGAGTATGGCAGGAGTGGCATCAGCTGCACTGGGCCTCCTGGGGCAGAGCCGCCGCTTCACACACCGGCACGTTGTAGTGGCGGTCGTCCTCGGTGACCAGACACACGCAGGGCCAGTCCTCCTTGTGGTCGTCCGGGTAGAAGGTGACGAACTCCTCCGTGTCGGCCTTGTACAGTCTGTAAACTTGAATGGTGCACTGTAAGGCGTAGCCCAACAGAAACATCTCCACCTTCAAGTAAATACACAGAATTACAGGTTAGCGTCAGCAGGCCATAACAGCACTTTTCTTCCCGTGTTTAATCATGTGCAGAGGCAAGGCAAAAGCACGCAATAATAACAATAATACGTTTTTTTAATGACTACTTGAAGGGATGATGAGGCAATCTCCAACAATTACACAAGTGGCATCATGTTTTGAGTCTGATCTGACCCAACAACACACTGTTATTGCTTGTGATCAGACAGGGGCAATTGAGGACAAATAGGTTAAAATTACCCAAAATTAACCTTAACCCAGAAGAAAAAGGAACACGTCACTCAGTTAAACACGCAAGTGCCTGATTTGAAGGTGTTCAAATCTGTGTTCTCACAAATCCATTGGTACATCGCGAGCACACATTATGGTTACCGAAGCAAGAAACAGATTTAGACAAATTCTACTAAAACCAGACTAATATCAAAGTGAATATTTGTGTTGTTGTGCAGTTCCAAATATTTGGAGCACACACAGAAGCATGAGTCTTCTCAGGCTGAAGCAAGGCACTAACATAGTATTTGTTTAAAACCAAATAAACAAATACTCAGCCAAGTGATTAGTCGATAAATGCTATAAATATTATTATGTCCCAGACCAAAACTGTACACACACACGCACAGAATAATCTCAAATTGGTTTTACATGATTTATTTTTTCATTACTGAAATATTCAGTGATGCAGAGTCAAATTTAGAGTTTGATTAGGCTGTTTTCTCTCTCCATATCTTCTCATTTTTGCAGTTAACATAGAAATTCTTGTAATTGAAATAAAATAATCAGACTTTTACTAAACCTTTTGCTGGAAGTGAAACCCTTGTGATGCCATAAAACTGCCATTTAGAATTGTTCACTGTGATAATGAAATTGCTACCACACACAGTTAATTTTGGTGACTCAAAACTGACTTTAGTTTTGGTACCACTGGTTTGTGTGGCTTTTGACCTACTTTACCGAGAAATTCATATGTAGTTTGGAGCCAACAGTACAGTCTATGTGAGGCTGAGGAGAACCAAAAGTCTCACCTGCTCCAGTCCAGCGCTGAGGCCCACGTGGCTGAGGTGGTTGGCGAGGAAAGAGCGAGGGGAATCGGACGAGTCCCGAGCAAAGAGGAGCCAGCAGAAGAGGGGCGTGTCGTCGCCCTTGTGCATGGAGCAGTGCAGTTCCACAGCGCGGGACAGCATCAGCAGCTTCAGAGCCTCCAGCAGAGCCAGCTCCTCTTCTCCGCCCTGGAACCACTGCTCACAAAGCTGCTGCCGCTCGGCCGCAGAGGCACAGGCCGCAGCTTCTCGCCACTGAGGTCAAAGCAACAGAACTAAGTCATCACTAAACCAGACAAACGTATGCATTTCACAATTTCATAGAAGTATCTAAAAGACATCCATCCATTTTCTTCTACTTTATCTGTTGTCGGGCCACGAAGTCAGCAGTCTAAGCAGAAACGCTCAGACTTCCCTTTCCACACACACTTCCTCCAGCTCATCTGGGGGAATCCTGGGGTGTTCCCCGGCCAGCTGAGAGACACAGTCCCACCAACGTGCCCTGGTCTCCTCCCACTGAGACATGCTCACCTGGTGTGGAAACACCACACCAGGAGGCATTCCAAACAGATGCTCAAGCCACCTTAACTGTCTCATCTTTACATGATCAAGCAGCGGCTCTACCCTGAGCTCCTCCTGAGTTCCTAAAAGAAACTCATGCAGACATCTCTTATCCGCTATATCGTTTTGGTCATGACCATATAAGAAAGTATCTATATATCGCTATGAATCCAACATCATCATCAATCTTTATTGGCAGAAGAAAAAGAAATGTAACTTTTCCAAAGTGAAAGCCAGAGACATGAGGAAAAACAACACAGCATAGACATGGCACACATGGTACTTACTCTGTAGATTCTGGAGACTAAATGTATGTTTGAGATAATAATGCACTGAGAAACACAAAACTGCATTTTATCTAATCCAAGCACGGACCAACTCAGCAATGTTATGATAAAAGAGGCCAAGTCAGAAGCAAAGGTACAGAACAAGATTTGTCTGAACTAAATCAGCAGTTGTGAGAGTCTGAACGTTTCAAAAACAGAATACTGTACGATTGTGTGGAGGCAACTGTGTCTGGAATGTCACGTCTTACCTCAGACCTAAAGAATGGACTGGACGGATAAGAAAGTCATACAATCTCAAATGTAGCTTTTCCAAACCTCCAAGTCATTTTGCACTTTCCCGCAACCCCCATACTGTACATGTTCAAAAGCAATTAGAGTGAAGCGGAAACTAGAATAACACAAAGCAGAAGTCTCTCCAAAACACATTTACCAAATCCATAATGTTGACGGGCAAAACCCAAACACTTCATTTCTGCTGGTCTAGTAAACACTTGGCCTCCTGCTGCCCGTAGCTCTGCTCGGCCATAAACTCTGTGCGCTAGGCCCCTCGTGGCTCAAGTTAAGGGGCTCTGTGGCTGTAACTGTTACTTTGAGGCTGAGGGTCCAAATCCCTGGCCCATTATAATGTCAAGAAAAAAGGGGAAACCGCACCATTTAGGGCGCCGCCTTCTCTTCAACATATGGAAGCAATCACGGAGACAGACTGCGGCTGAATATCAATACTCTCAGTGTCCATGGCTGGCATAAAAATAGCGCAGTGGTGTAGCTAGTTCTGTGTGTGTTTGAAGTACTTCCTGACTGAGAGTTGCATGAGAACCACTACCTTCTTTTGCAGGAGCTCCAGGTAGCTTTGCAGTTGCAGGGTGGCATCTCCGGTCCCATCTCCACGCAGACACTCCCCGGGAAATATCCACTGACAGATCAACCCGTCTTGGGCCTCCAGCTCCTTTGGCAGCTGTGTGGATATAAGCGTGAATAAGTCGCAGCCTCTGGTACTGTATAAAAACTGGTCGGGCTCTTTACCGTGGTAATATTGTCTTCTCGGAGCCACTGGGGCATTTGGCTGGTGTTGCACAAGACCTGGTACAAAGTGGCTCTGAGGGCACAGTAGTTGTCCCCTCGGACTCGTCTCAAGCTGCTGAACTTCTGGGACAGCTCCTTATAGCCCTGTAAAGACCAGCACGAGTCATGAATGATGGAATGATGCATCAACGGATGTCACATTGATGTTTACTTTCCAACAGTCACCTTTCTAATTAGTGCACTTTTGGCAGTGTTTCCTCTCCACTCCCTTTCGCTGTAGGACATAATATCCACCGCTGGAGCCAAACTGCACCGATCCTCCAGCTTTGACACTGAAAAGCAGAACAGAGCAGAGTTACAGCACACAGGTGGGGTAATGTGCTCATACAGACTGTACAATGTCTTAGATTATCATGTCTTTAAAGTAGATTAGACTTATTTGTTCTTTGATATCACACAAAGAGTAGGATAACATTGTCATTAAGGTAAATTAAATGAATAGGTACAGTTTTGTCTAATAAAGAAGAACAAACAAGTCTAATGTCAATTATCTTGCAGTACGTAGAGCTGCAGTACAGAATGAAATGTAATTTAAAGGATGTTCTTACAGGATTCTGATAAAGATGGAGCCACAGCTTCTGTGGTTAGTTCAGCAGACAGCTCCTCTGCTCCTCTGTACAAGTCCTCCTCACTAAGTGACACAAAAGGGTGGGTTACAATTAGTCTACAATTTATTTTTATACTTTGAGATTTGTCCATGACTGGATTTCCACAATGTGCAATACTAAAGTTAAATGTTAAAGTAAACAAAGATTGTGTCAAACAACAATCAGCAGAACAAACCTGTCCTCCAGGTCTTCCTCCTCGTCCTGGACGTTCACAGCTGCAGGAGTCTCCTTAGATGCAGTAGGAGAGCTGTCAGAGCTGCTGAGCACCATCTCTTCTTTAGCCACAGTCTCTGGTGAGGCACATTCTGTGTTCTTCAAAGCTGCGTGTTTCTCTTCACAGTCTTCACCTGGAGGCTCGTCTTTAGCCTTCACAGTCTCAGTGTTTTCTGCTGTAGTCTCTGGAGTGTCCTCGAGTAAGCTTTCTGCTCCACACATTTCTGCCTGTTGCAAACTATAAAATAAATGTGGATTTAGATTTAAAATTAAATGTACAAATACATATTCATAAAAAGTTAAATATTTGGATAAACAATTCCTGCCAATAACTAGGTTATTGTAATATTTACAAGATGGAGATTGGTCTGATCACGTCTGTACAACAGTGTCATCTAGTGGTAATAGTTAAACATTGTGGGAAAAGAGGTGGCACTAAGACAATAATATATTCACTCATAAAACACTTTGATGCAAAGCAACAACACTTTGAGAGAAAACAGTAGAAGAAAGAATCCCCACGCTGAGGTGCCTAAACATCACTGACCTGTGGCTCTCATCTGCTGCAGCTGTGGCGTGTGGAGCAGGGCTGGACTCTCCCTCGTCACTGAGCTCCGGCGCAGAGCAGACTAGACCCACAGAACACTCTGGAATATGGCTTTGTGTCTCCGCAGCGTGGGCTTCTAACAGAGCGGCAGGACCGCTTCTGTGTTCAGGGTCATCTTTGTCAACACTGGATAAACAATCAGAGGTGAAGTAGGAACTTTCAGTACAATAATTAACCAAACTAAGCAAAGAACAGGATTATCTGAATTATAAACAAGCTAGCGTTTAGGTTTGATATCAAACATTGCAATATGAAAACTCATCGTATCAAGTTACTGCAACAGTTTGTTTACCCTAAAAACAGAAGTGAGAGTTTCAATCCCATTGTGGTGTCATGTGACTTACCTGTGTGAAGGGTCTGTATTAACTACTTCCTCAGTAATCGCAGAGATGGGAAACACCTGAGAATGTGGTGCAGCAGGTTCAGAGCTTGGCTGCTCCACTTCCTCCTTCTCGCTCTTTGTGGAGGCTTTATCTGCACATTTGTCAGGGGAAACCGGACACTCACTGTTGTTATTGATTGTGTCCATGATACTGTGCTCTTCTTTAGGTTTTGTTTCTGTGAGGGAGGGGCTTTCACTGCACACTGTTGCTTTACCATTTAGGTATTTCACTTCTTCTTCTGCTGCTGCTGCTGTTTTTGTTTTAGAGGCATCCCAACCAGTGCGGCTCTTCTGGGGAGGAGTTGAAACGCCCTCAGAGTCCGCCACATTAGCATGTATATCTGCTCCTTCTGCATTTACAGTGTGTTGGGGTGATTTGTTGAGAGTTGTATCATTTTGGAGGTTACTTTTCTGCAATGTCCCGTTCTCCTGAGTACTGTAGATCTCTGTTGCGTCCTTAAACTGTTCCTTGCTTTGTAACATAGAAGAGAAGCAGACACAATATTGAATCAATGATGTGTCTGCAGGTGTGTAACAAGCAGCAGGTGTTAGATGCTCTGTGCTTACCTTATGTCCTCTTCTAGTCCAGGCCCACACGTTCCCCCCACCGAAACAGCACCGGGGGTTTCAGCCGGGGCCACAGCCGCCTTCGAGTCATTCTGCAGCAGACTGGTTTCCTCTGCACTGTCGCAGGGGCCTTTGCTATGGCAGCAGAAACAGTTCCCCATGTGCCTGCTTCCTCTATTTGGGAGGTCAACACGCAGGTGAAGGGAGACCAAACTGCTGCTTTCAGGAGTCCATGGTCCAAAAGATCAAGTTCCAGCTATAGCCCCATAGAGAACATCAGAATCATACCTGAGAGCACAGAGGGCAAGCGTCAGCCTGTTAAATTGATCCATCTATTCAGACTTAGCAGTAATGCAGTAATTTATCAGGGTGGACTTTGACGCTGCATCATTTGATAGAGGGGGCAGGTCTGACTGAATGCCTGTGTCCTTACGCGGGTTACTGTTATGGCAGCCAACCCCAGCGCCTCATCTGTCATTACATGCAAAGCGTAACATCAAAAGCTGTCCACTAGGAAGTAGCGTTAATGAACCAGGGCAGTCAAAACAGCATGTGAAATCAGCCATCACACTGAACATGCATTCACCTGGGTTTGAGAGAGAATGGCGAGGCCCCTCTAAGCTTGACTCTCGCGCCTTAAATCTCCTTCACTTTTGGATAGCTGCAGAATAGGCTCAAATTAGCTTCACGGCTAGTAGCAGCGATAAACTTCATAAACAGAGATCTGCTACCGGAGAATCCCGCGGCTCACGGACACCACGGGTTCAACGGTGGAGATGTGTGTCGGCATCAGCGTACTGTCTCAGGGGCTGGCAGTGGGTGAAGAAGCGCTCTGGACATGTTTCAGTGAGGAACATCTGTTGGCACGAACCCCTAGCATCGCCAGAGCAGCAGGGTCACGGCTCGGTCCAGCGCATGACGTCATACACATGTGCGCCACGAGCTGCGGGTGAGGCGTTCAAGTGCAAGCAGTAGATTGCAGAACCGAAAGAGGCAATGCTCTCCTTAACTGCTGCACAATTTATAATAGAAATCAGAAGAGAAAGCAAATACAATATTTCAGGTGCGAATATAGAGGGCTGCAATATGTCTGCGTATTTCTATTAAGAGTGTAATTCATTGCAGTAACTAACATTTTTTTAGTTGCATTTGGTTAATTGATTAGTTGTTTGGTTCATGAGACTTGTAAATATAGAATCATTATAGATATGAAGACAGTAAATATAGCTCTGTTAGTCACAAAACTTCCCAACGTCATTAAATCTATAGTTCAAAAAGATTCATCTATGACTAAAACGAGTTGACTATTCAATCACTATTTCAGTGATTGATTAGTTACAAATAACTGATTAACTTGAGTTGTTTACTCCTTCCTGAACAGGATGGGTCATATAGAGAGAGCAATAAAATATCTCTTGACCATAACCTGGATTTTTGTAATTTTTTTGTAACAGATTAGATCAATAAACATACAAAATAGTCATGATAATAAACTAGTAATAAATGATTAATTGCACAGCTTCAAACAGTAAGTAGCTAATTTAAAGCAGTAACAATTTTGGGTCATCATGACGTCAATGCAACACAGTAAGTCCATAGATACTCATTCTATTTATTTTCTTTAAATTATAAGAACATTTACATTTGGGTCAACACCAGTCCTCACATCTCCCCTGTCTTTATTTGCTACATTTTCCTCAGTGATTCAATGTGGGCAGTCAGTTCTGAAGGGAGTGCCATCTCTGTCGCTATTTGCGCACACCGCTGAAGCAACACTGAGAGTTTATTGTCAGAGTGGGAAGAGTCTGAAACCGCGTGTGGCTTCAGTGAGAAGTCTGTTTGCATTTTGTCTCCTCCTTTACAGCAGTCCTTGTTATCACATCGCTCTCCGCAACAGCCTCCTCCTGCTGGCTCTGCACTCAGGTCCTCCATGGCCTCCGCGACGTCACTCACACTGGGTGGAGGGTTTTCTAAAGTCCGTTTCATGTCTTCCAGAAGTGATTCTTCGTGTTGTGTCACTTGACGCAGGAGGTCGTACACCATTTGTTTTGCAGGGTTTTCTGGATGCTGGCCCTGGCACCAGCACCATATTGCACTGGTGGAATGAGACACAGAGACAACAATGTCAAACAACAAAGGGAAGCCACTGGGACAGCAACAGCAGCAAGCAAAAAAACAGCCAGCAAGAGTGCCTTTATCTTTTACATGATATTATTTGACAGGATTTTAAATCGTGTCATGACAACAAGATACAAAAGGAACAGTTCAATCTAACATAAAATACATAGTAGCAGAGAAATGTTGATATTACGTGACAATTCCTTTGAGTCGGCCGACGAGAACAGTTTGTGCTGCTCCTTCCCTAAATCCAAGATTAAAGCCAGACTGAAGGGCGCCGTCTTCTCCTGCATCAATGCCGTCCACATATCCATCCTGTACAGAGCATAAACACACATACAAATAAATCTCCATATTTTTTCAGTATAGTAAATGCACTTTTTTTCATGACAAAATTGTTAAAAGCTGGAGTATGTCTTAAAGAATCAAACACCCCTATACCACTGCAGACTGTATGTCTTTCCCTCTTATACATATGCAAGCTCATGTGTATGGATATATAATATGAATATGTGTATAAAATATCTAATGTATTTTATTATTTTGTTGTCTGATTTTATTCCCCCCTGGTCCTCCCAACTTCCCTTTCCCTACTTCATAAAAAATCATCAAAACAAATGCATATTTCAGTAATTTAGGGAAAAAAAAGAAAACATGGACCACAGACATTACATGATATAGCTAGTTCTAGGTGGGACAAAGTGGGAGAGACTAGGAACAAAATACCTACAAGAACAAAGCTCTGGGACACAATTCTCCATTCATTTTCTTTTTAAACAACTGCTCTTTTTGCTTTGTACTACTTTTAGCATAGTATCATAGCATACATGTTGATATAGCGTTACTTCTATGCTAGCTCGCAGCAGCATTGGCCTCACCCGGACTCTCCTCTTCATGTTGGCGGACCACTCTCTGCTTTGTAAGTTCAATTCGTCCGCGTTTTCATCAAAAACATCTTCCCCACTAGAAGAGACGGATTGAAGCCACGACATGGTGCTCTGTGACCCGTTAAATGACACTACTTTGAGGCTACATCGATGATGTTGAGTGACGTCATAATGCTGCGACAATTTCTAAAAAATAGTTTTAAATAGATATGTCTCTCTCTCTATATATATACTGCGGTGTTATCAAACAAAATAAATAGCACAGTTATCGTCATGGAATAATTAGTATCACTACGTATTCTTCAAAAATGAGGATTGTTATTCTTACCTAAATGTCATGTTGTGCTCATATTAACCAGCAGATGGCGCCATGACCTCATCCACAAACGCCTCAAATCCCGGATGTATTATTGCTCAGCTCTTATGGAAAAGTCCATACTATTCTATAATATACTGTTCGATTTCACGGTAAGCGCAACGAGAGAATATAGTGCACATTTTTAGTTAAATTGTATCTTCATGTTTTGAAATGAAGCAAACAATTATGCAGAAAATCAGGTAAAATACCATAAGCCATCAATACAATGCACAGTTTTGGGAAAGAAACGAACAAAAAGTTATTTCTGACAACATATAGAGCTACTAAAAACATTTGAATATGGTTTAAAAGATTGTGAATTTTAGTGTGTACATATTTCAGATAGAGGAAAAAATTAAAAGCTTGACATGTTTTCTGGATTATTTCACATAATCTATATCAAGTAATAATTGTCACCTAATAGTTTAATATGGGTTTAAGTTTTTTATGCAATATAAACAAGAACAGGCACACATTTAATCCAGATATATTTTTGTTCCATTTACATAAAGTTTCACCTATTATTGAGTAAATTGTTTCAAATGTACTGCCAATAACAAAACACGTTCAAGATTGTGGCCAGAGGAATACAACTTTTTAACGCGTTATCAAAACAGATATCTGTTTTTACAAATAAACTCTTCATATGTATATTGAGATTAAGAGATCCTTTAGTCTCCCACAGTGGGGACATTTCGGTATTTAATATTATTTTCCTTGTAATCTGATTGAAAAGAAGTTTGTAACACAGTTTTAAATTAAGACAGAAGAGTGAGTGGGTTCTCACTCTTCTGGCAGGTGCTCTTCAAAGACGAGGCGCAAAAAATACAGCGGAGAGTGATGATTCTGCAGTCAAAACTTACTTTCAAATATTGTGTGAAAAATTTGACATAAGAGAGGTCACTGTTCGCAGACAAAATAAAAGTCCTTTATTGTTTTACATAGGACGAGCAGTTTTTTTTATATTGAAGAATAATGTTTGAGTGGTTTTTTTTCATGATACATTTTTTTCTGTGGGAATAATGATTGTAATAATGTTTTGTGCTGGTGTGAATGTCAAATGAGCAAAGGCCTTCATAAAACAAACATGTTGTCATTCTACAGCAGGCCTGTGCGATAGATGAATCTGAATGAATGCTGCTGAAGCCCATGTTGGTTTGTTGGACTGTAATCAGCTTTGTGCAGTGTTCAGTGCAGCTTGACCGCTCAGATCACTGTCCTCTGCGTCTCTACAGCCTCCTGTTTAACTTTTCAAAGCATAAAATGTCATCCATCATGACAAACACATTATTCACTCATCTATAATACATGTCATCTCCCTTTTTCTTACTGCGGACACCCAAGCTTTGTTTTATTTTGAGATTTCTCATTGCTCATGCCATGCTTTGTGAAAAACACCAGAGAGACAGGGCGAGGACCAAGTGCACTTCAGCCTGCTCAGTGGAATGCATTTGCAACCACTGAACAGTGGCCTTGAGAACAGTGCGAGGCCACAGCGGACTTGTACCAGCCCAGAGCCACACCTTCAGTCCCTTTGCTCAAGAGTCAAAACAAGCATCAAGCGGCGCAATCACCTGACACATTTCCATCCAATTTCCACTGCAGAATGTGTTCATTTTCAGCCTAATGGCATGTCATTTTGCTGGAGCCTTTGGTCAAGAATTAATCCTGGAATCAAAACAGATTTTCCGGGGAGCAATCTTCCATCAAGTATTGATTTTTGTACACTCACAGAGCCTGTACTCCCTAATTTAACCTGACAGCCAGCAGCACAATGGACTGGGAGCACCTTGGCATCTCAGAGGGAGCCGTGTGCTCCTTGCTCTCAGTAAAGTGCGATAGAGGCTGGGAGGGGTGAAAAAGGACTCCCAGATGTATAAAACAAAGAGCATTGCTTACAGAAAACACCCCGATAAATCTTCTCGTCTCTGTTTTACCTCTAATTATGTTTTCCAGTGTAGTGCAGCCTGGGCAGGTACAAAGCTGAGAGGGAAGAGGCGAGAGTGTCCGAGCCATCAGCTATCATTATGGGCCTGTTGACATCTCCCTGTCTTTGAGTGATTCTCATCTGTGATTTCCCCTGGCCATTTTCCACAGATGCACAAAGAGTGTTTCAACAGGGGCCTCCACAAAGCGAGCCAAAGTGTGAGAGCAGGCCCTCACTAATAAGAAACCAAAGACACGTCCGCCCCTGTCACTCCGCACCATGCCTTCAGATATACAATCATTGTGTGTAAGTACACTAAAGCATACGTGAGGTGAGCAGGTGGAGAGGATGATGGAGGCCAGGCCTGGTTATTTTCCTGCAGCTCTTAAAGCAGCGATGACCCGTGTGCATGAGAGTTGCTCTCTGCCCAAAGAGTTCACAGACTAACTATCAAACACAGAAAACTGAGGCTTTTAACTTTCAATTACAACTCAGGCACTTGGGCCAAAGTCACAGGAAGTGCAGGCATTTTCATAACTTTTAAGTTTAGGATTTCAAAACTACAAACTGGGCAGTTGACCTCGAGTTTGAGGTTTCAAAGATCATACTTTCAATATTCAAACATTTAATTTGGAAAAATATACTTCTTATAATTTTACACAATGATCGAATAAACTACAGAGATGAGTGAACTTGTAGGTATAGTGTAAGTTCATATACATATGTATGTAATGGACGCTATATGAACCAACGCAGACTCTGAGGAGCACAGGGACTGACCTCCTGCGGGGACTCTGAGGAGCACAGGGACTGGCCTCCTGCTGGGACTCTGAGGAGCACAGGGACTGGCCTCCTGCTGGGACTCTGAGGAGCACAGGGACTGGCCTCCTGCTGGGACTCTGAGGAGCACAGGGACTGGCCTCCTGCTGGGACTCTGAGGAGCACAGGAACTGGCCTCCTGCTGGAGCCAAGACTCCAGACTAAACATGGGGAGACAGTGTTTTATATTCATGCAGCTCAAATCTGGAACAGTCTTCTGGAAAATGTGAGAGAGGCTTTCACTCTGGCAAAGTTCGAATTCAGGTTAAAACAGTTCTATTTAGCTGTGCGTACCCCTTTTTTAGTTTATTGTGATTATATATAATTTAAATGTCTATTTTTTGTTTGTTAAGCACTTTTAGTTGCCTTGTGTATGAACTGTGCCATACAATTAAACGTGTCTTGCCTAATCTACATTGCACAAAAATATTATTGTTACTATTGACCTTAGGGGGAGACCGGCGCACCTGGATGAAACCTACACAGACACAAGGAGAACATGCAAACCCCACACAGAAAGACCTGGAGGTGGAATCGAAACTACAGGACGTTTGTGCAGGTCCTGGGTTCACCGGGCAAACCACTGCACCGCCCAACATCCTTTATTGTCCCACATTGGGGAAATGTCAGTGTTGTATCACCAGTTACAGAACAGTAGTGATGAGGAGCACACAAGATAAATAAACTTTATATCAAAATATTTTTCAACTTTAGCATTAAAAAGAATCATGTACAAGATTTATAGCTGTAGCATAATAAGCAAGCAAATATACCAAAAAAAGCAAGAATTCAGTAAAAAATCTCTAACTTTTACATATGAAAATATCAATGATTAATGATACAAAATCCCTTTAATATGTATTTTGCATCTATTTATTCATCTTATTGAATGATAATCACCTTGAATCTGTCCTTTGTTGTGAGTGAGACAGAAGTGACATCCCTGACTGCTACTGCTTCTTCTTCTGCTTCTTCTGCTTCTTCTGCTTCTTCCAGGGCAGATAAATGGTGTGATTTTACCTGAGAGTCCGCGAACACATCAGAGTCCGCACAAAGACGTCACGAGTGTATTGTTAAATGGACTATGACGTGACGCGCGCCTGGGAGCGGACAGGTGTCTCCACATCAGCCCCATTACCTGCAGACGCCTGGCCGTGTGTCTCTGTGTCATTGCTAATCACGCCTCCACCGGCCCCCAAAACACAAGCAGATGGGGGGAAAGAGCCGTGAAAGAGAGACCCAGGAATCATATGCATGGTCGCTCCGGATTGCATGTGCGTATTGGTAATTGCCCCCCCGGAGGCGTCCTGGCTGAAAAGTGCTGGATGCCCCCTGTTCTCTCTCTCTCTCTCTCTCTCTCTCTCTCTCCGGCTGCATCCTCAACATCTCACCTATTCAAAATCGGGGAGAAAGATGAAGAAGAAGGAGGAGATGATGTGGTGACTACACAGACAGTTCATTTACCCCAAACACCAACGCGGAGATGAGGCAAGTGAACGCGTCATGTCTGATGGGAGACAAAAGGCAGCAATTTATGACCATCTGCATCCAAACATCCCGCTTCTCTCCTCCTCCTCCTCCTCCTCCTCCATCCCGACCATGTGTGTGTGTGTGTCCTGGGAGCAAACACTGAAACATAATCCACTCATGTCACAGGGATTCTACGGAGGCTTGGCAATTCATTCTGGACAATTTCAGGTGAACAAGGGTTTGTTTCAACCAGGCAGGAAGGCAGGAAGGCAGGTGCGGGCCCAAACACGCACTTTCACTTTGGTTCTGTGTTGTGAGGAAATTATTATCTGCAGGTATATAAAGAGGGTTCATACAAATAGAATCAGAATCAGATTTTTTATTTTTATTTTATTGGCCTTGTGAGTGATAAAGAAAGTGCATGCATGCGTAAATGTGAAAAATCTACATATCATTTCAATACAACATCAAATTACTGCTATGTAAAAGTGCACTAAGTATGTATAGCTTCAGTTGTGAACTTCTTGAAGGCACCTGCAGGGCAAAAAATAATAATATAGTTGACAGAAAAATTATGTATCGTGTGTGAGTCTGGATGGAAACAAGAATGATCTTAAAACAGGACTTGACTTTGATCCTTGTAGCTATAGTTCATTGCTCTCAAAACAGTTTGGTTCAATTTAAAACAATTTATATATGTATACCCCTAAATCAGAACAGCAGTCGTCTCGGAGGACTTTACAAAGTTGTCAGTTCGCCAACAACAGATTAGAGAATCAAACTCAAACGTTGGAAATGCACTAACACACACATGGGAGCTATTGTGGGACAACCACTGTCCATAAATGTGAATAAATGGTTTTATACCTAGTTTTCACTTGCATGTAGATAAGATACGATGACTTTATTGATGGAGAAATGTGCATGTCACATTTGGCACAGATAGAATCACTCAGATTGTGCAAAAAGACAGAAGTGTGCAACGTATTAGGGTTAAAAATATAGTCTGTACAGGATATAATAATAATAATGATACAATAATATGTACAATAATAATAATACAAAAATCCGCTTTTAAAGACAGAGAAGAGAAAAAGAGAGGACCGGCCTCACTCAGATCTCAGCGTGTAAAAGATGAAGACAGGTCGGATCAAAAAATGTTTATACAAAAAAAAAAAAAGAGGTTAGGGTTAACCCTAACCCTAACACGTCATTCATTCCAACCGATAATAACAAAAGCATTCACACTTTGAATGCCTTTTTTTTCCTCTGTATGTGATTTTTACAATAGTAATGTAAAGTGTAATCTGCGAATTTCTGGTTCCTTCTGTTCTGGAATATCCCGTGATCTGCCTTTGCTGAGTTCTTCAACCGTCAAGCCCAGTTTATACGGAGACAATGCAGCAGTAAAACGCTATAGTTGGATGTCGGTTGCTACCTCCCGTTCATACGGAGACTGTTCCAGGTGAAAAAGTAAGAGTTAAGATCCAGCCTTTCAGATACGCTGATCAGCGGGGGGCGCTCTTTCACACCCGCGTGAGGGAGAAAGGTCAGACCCCACCTCCCCACTGCTCCCCGCACGTAAATTTGGACATCAGAATCAGAATCAGAATCAGAATCATTTTTATTGCCAACGTAAGTAACGGGAGGTCACAGACTTGGAAATTGCTTTGGCTCAGTGCAACAGTCAAAAAGAGATAATAAAAATAAGAATAAAAAACACTTCTAAAGAATACATTTAAATTTAAAATAGAGTTACAGTTACTATTTACAATATACAAGTGCACATGGTGCACACAATGTAAGGTGACAGCAGTACAGTGAAGTAAAGTGACGTATGATGGACAGTAAAGTGACTTTATAAAGGGCGGGGGGACAGGTTAAGAAGTGTTCAAGAGTCCAACAGCAGAGGGGAAGAAACTGTTCTTGTGGCGGGAGGTTCTAGTCCTGATGGACCGCAGCCTCCTGCCTGAGGGGAGTGGTTGGAATAGTCCATGTGCAGGGTGAGAGGGGTCGGCTGTGATACGACCAGCCCGGCCTCGAGCTCGGGCGACGTACAGGTCCTGCAGCGATGGAAGGCTGCGGCCGATCACTTCCTCTGCAGAGCGCACAATGCGCTGTAGTCTCTGTTTGTCCCTGACTGTGGCTCCAGCAAACCACACGGTGATGGAGGAGGTGAGGATGGACTCGATGATGGCCGTGTAGAACTGCACCAACATCTGTGCAGGCAGCTTGGCTTTCCTGAGCTGCCGCAGGAAGTACATCCTCTGCTGGGCCTTCTTGATGAGGGAGCTGATGGTCGGCTCCCACTTGAGGTCCTGGGTGATGGTGGTGCCCAGGAAACGGAAGGACTCCACAGAGGTGATGGGGGAGTCCATCACGGAGGGTGGGGGCGGGGGGACAGTGCTCTTCCTGAAGTCCACAATCATCTTCCACTGTCTTCTGGGCGTTCAGCTCCAGGTTGTTACCACTGCACCAGGACACCAGCCGGTCCACCTCCCTCCTGTAGGCGGACTCATCGTTGTTGGAGATGAGTCCAATGAGGGTGGTGTCGTCCGCGAACTTGATCAGCTTCACGGAGTCGTGGCTGGAGGTGCAGTGGTTGGTGTACAGGGAGAAGAGCAGGGGAGAAAGAACACAGCCCTGTGGGGCTCCTGTATTTATAATCCGAGAGTCCGAGACATTCTTCCCCAGACGCACTCGCTGCTTCCTGTCCGACATGCGCAGTGGGCGAGAACAAACGTAAACAACAATGGCGGCGGGTAAACTAACTAGCTACGTGCTTCGAGCGCTACACAGAGGAGGATTCTACACCTTTGTTCGTCAAAACGAAACCACGCGGCTGCTGTTAAACTGCAGAATTATGTTGGTCCATCTTTCACGGTTGGCACTAGATCATAAACGGAATTGGGACGAAACCGGAAGTAAAAATTCTATTTTCGAATTAGTTTTAGACGAATAAGTGGTTAAGTTTGGGGTGTCTGAGTGAGATGCTTACGTTTAGGGTTAAGGGTGGGTTGGGGTTAATTTTATGTGAATGGCTGGTTAAGTTTAGGCATGAATAACTGGTTTGTTATATTGACTTCAGCTTCCGTCCCGATTCCGTATATGATCTAGTGCTGACCATGTTACCATGTTTTCATGTCTTGCAGAGGAAGTGAGTACACTGCTGGGGGATGCTGGGGCTTGCATGTGCCGTGTTGTAAAGTTCCTCTGCCCCCTACTGTCCAGACGCTAGAACTACATCGTTTTTGATCCTCGTCTGAACGCTGTGAAACATGCATGAGGAGCCTGGTCGTTTCTGTTAATAGCTTGGAAACGTCTGCGCAGCGCCTCCGTCTAAACTCCCTCCTGTCGTCTGTATAAGCAGCACGGACATCATAATAACACATTTTTGCAACGCCAAAAATTCAAGGTTACTGTACAGCGGCAACAACAGGTACGATTCTTTTTTCTTTTGATTGTTGTCTCATTGTTGTTCGTTCATTCCCAACTCTCACTTGTGTCCGAAAGAATCCGATTGAACGAAAAAATTTCACCAAAGTAAGTGTTAGGATTTAAGCAGACAGAGACGGATCGTGGTGTGCCAAACTCTGGAAGTTTATTTAAGTTTCTCTCAAGTTCCACTGGTTTCCTCTGTTTCTTCCTCTCAGACAGAATAAAGGCAGTACACAGTTTATATAGTCATTGTCACGTCACACATCGAAAGACATACGTGTCACAAAGAGACAGTCACATCATAGTCATAACATGGAGTCCTTGTAGAGTCCTTGTACAGTCCTGCACGTAGGCCATATTGCTATCTAATACTAACACCCTCCCCTTTGATCACATAATCACATGTGATCACTCAAATCGATCAATCAATAAAGTGGAAAAAGAAGAAAAAAAAATCCTAAAAAAAAACTTTAAAAAATTATTAAAAACAAAGAAAATGTATGCATTAAACTCATAATCATCAAATCAATATCAGTGGATTTTATCCTCTATCCTGGGAAAAAAATAAACAAACAAAAATGAAGTAAATAAACAAACAAAAAACAACAAACAAACAAAAACAAATAAAAAATAAAAACAAATCAAATATAAAAACAAACAAACACTATTGGACACACAAGAACTCAGCAGATTCAGTCAAAACACAGACAAAAACGAGCTGAGTCTCAAATTTGAAGCTAATTTCACTTTTATTACTCTATACTTTTATTCTAATGCTAATTGTTTACACTTCACTTATTTCACTGTATTATTTTCACTTTTTAATCTTAGACTGTGTACTTTACTTTTACTATTCACTATAGTTTAAAACTATTCTAATCTATTCACATAAATCTCTCTGTTCTGTGGTTTACACTCTAATTATCAGTGGCATATTATTAGTGGGATTTTGCTCCATGTCTATTCTCATTCTCAGGAATAAAACTGTGAACACAGTAAGGCAAATGGTCAACATTTACACTTCTATAGTGGTCAGTGATTTATTACTTTTTATTATCTAAAGATATTATTGTCAGGCAGTTTGGGATGAATGTACATCATTAATCAAATTAGTATTATCATTACAAGAGCTAATCTATTTTAGCAGGTTTGGGGTTGGGGTCAGTAATTCTACAATGGTATTTGTGCTGGAAACTTCTCAATATCTAAATATCTACTATACTGTTTTTGTGCTATACCCAAATGCATCAAAATGCTTTTAAATGCTTTTGAATCTCTGTTGGTTGTAATCTATCTCATTGATCTAGGCATTAATCTAGGCTACACTCATATGAACTTTTGTATTGTCAACATTCACCAATGTTTGAACACAAGTGAATTTGGCAAGTATCTAATAAAACTGTACATAAACTGTAATTAACTTTATCTACTTTTGAAGTAAATGTTTGTGAAATGGTCCCTCTACCATTTGATATTAACACTGGCTACAAATATTCTCTATTTCTGAAAGCATCTATGGTTGATGCATTTATCTATCTCTATTTTTACACTATTGTGACTCCAAAGTTTGGCTGCAGTTTGAGCAAAGGCATATTCCTAATTTGTGACTTCTGTCACTTTTAATGGCTGTAACATAACTCTGATTCTAATATTATAGCTGATCTATCAAAAGGATAACATTGTAGGGTACTATTTTAACTCTTATGTGGAAATGTGTTTATGAAAAACAAAGGAAGTCAAATTCTACTTTTTTACTACTATTTAACATCTACTAAAACGCTACAATACTTATACTTTATCATTTTCAAAGTTTTTGTCTGTCAGATGTCTGAATACTTAACATGTATATTGCATTTGGTCACAGTTTCTGGTTGTAGCAATAGCATCGGCAATAGACGTTTTCATTGGCTGGTTCTTGTTCTGCAAATGTCTGTGTCCAATAGATCATCAGATGTCCAGAAGCTAGGGACAAACAAAAACAAAAGAAAGAATCATGAGTATCTCTCTCATTTAGCACTCATCAATGTATGATTTTAGAAATATAAACATCACTCCCCAGTTTTTCTCTCCAAGGTCCTCAGATCCTCAGGTCCTCAGGGTCCCCTGAGGGTGAGTCTCAGTCGTCATCAGGTCAGGTCATAGAGAGATGTCATCTTGGTCATCAGTAGGGTCCAAGCCATGGTTCTGGTTCTGGTCTCCAGATGCACATCAGATCTCCAGATACAGTCTTTTCAGTTGAAGCACATCAGGTCATTTGCGATGCACTTCTGGTCAATGGTGCAGTGTCACAGTTCCTGTACACAGCTTGTAATGCAATAGTTACTTTCTATGGTTAAGTCACTTTGATTCTAATCCTAATCAATTTCTATTCATGCTGTTGCTTCTGTCCCTCAGACAAAAGCAAGCGCAATGATTCAGTTTACTTCTCTAATTTGTGTTTTTATCAGATGTAATCCTAATCAATGTAATTACTTCACACAGTACAAAATCAACAAATCAAAAGTGTCAGGAGAGATCAATTATGTCCATGACAATATAGAATTCAAATGAACATTTCTGGTCTCAAAAAATACTGATTCAACTAAAGATTCAAGTGATAGACAATTAAAAATATGTGTTTACATTGGAGTAAACTTTTAAAATGCTTTTTTCTCATGTTCTGCTTTTTCATGTATCTATATGTAAATGTGAATGTGTGAGTGTATGAATGTGTGTGTGTGTGTGTGTGTGTGTGAATTTTGGGGTTGTTTCTCCAGACTCCTCGAACCACCTGTAGGTGTCAAAGGTCACACTGTGGTGATGCAAACCAACTGGACACACTTTCAACTCTCCTCCAGGTCTCTACCTGATGCTCCACCCATCACTGCCTCCAGAAACCTCCACTTTGTGGCCCCGGTCTCACTCCCACTTACTTCTGTAGTGGGGGGAGGGGCGTAGAGGTGGCATTGTTGCCCTTTGCTCTTAGCTCTGTGGCCTGTGGCTGGGTGGGCGTTGCGCTGTCCAGTGTCCAGCAGTGACCTCTCGCACAGTGAGGCAGAGTCTGAAAAACAATCCTTGAGACGGCCAATTTAAAAAACAATAGATATCAGTATGCGAATGAGATTGTTTTTCTCTCTGAAGTCAAAACAATTTTGGTGCGCTCTGGGTTTTCCCAAGCGCTATGTAAATAAAAGATTACTTATTATCTTACTAATGATGACATTTTTAAAACCAGAAACTCTTAATATAAAAAAACAAGACTCAAATCTAAAAAAAAACCTTTTTAAACTTTAAAAAATGTATTCTATTTTGTACTTCTGTACTGTGTGATGTTTTTAATCTTGGCTTGCTTGGGTTTCTTGAAATGCGCCATAAAATAGAATGAATTATTATTATTACTCAAATCGCAACTAAAACTGTATGAAAAATCTCTGTAAAAATGAATTTTGAAAAACATTAAAACAAAAATTGAAAACATGAAGTCAAAGCAAAAAGATTAACTAAACTGGATTAATCACTTTATGGAATTTCCCTTTTACACTTGAACATTTATAGCATATATTCTAATTTAAAATAATTGCTGCATTCTTCAAATGCACTCAATAAACTTTTAAAAACATTTTGAATTGGAAGACACTATCAAACTCTGCTCGCCCTGCAGTGAGCAGCAGCTGCAAGGCCAGAGCTATAGACAAAACAAAACTCACAAAACTCGCAGCTTTTAGACTGTAAATTGGGTCACAGTTTAACTTAATAATACTTTTACAGCTATCCTGTTCTATTCCTAATTCCCTCTTTCTTTTTAGACGAAGTCTACAATCATTAATCACTTTTAACTCAGATTCTAATTTAAATGTTTGAAAAACGGCTTTTGTAACTAAAATAAAAACATAAAAAAAATTCTCACTAACAGCTATGAAATATCAGATACAATAATGGACTCACAAAATAAGCAGCAGATTTAAAAGAATGGAATCTAGAAATATGTTAGGTCTAAAAAGAATTGCACAGC